CTCAGAGGAGTCGGGCGTGTATGGGAGGATAGTGTCTAGCGTGCACGATGGTTCGCGTCCGTACAACAGAAAGAAAGGGGAGAATCCTGTTGTCGCGTGCGTAGCGGTGTTATACGCATACGTGACGAATGGAAGGACAGTGTCCCAATTAGTCTGGTCTGAAGCTGTGTACATCGTCAACATATCACCGAGAGTGCGATTAAATCGTTCTGTGAGGCCATTCGTCTGCGGGTGATATGCTGTCGTCAGGCGATGAACCATGTTGCACTGAGCGAGCAACGCTTGAATGGCGTCAGACAAGAAAACACGCCCCCGGTCACTCAAAAGTTCGCGGGGAGCACCATGGCGAAGAACAAAGTTGCGCACAAATCGACGAAAGTATGAGCACAGGCCGATAAAACTTCGAAGCGTCTTGATGGAATTGGGCTTCGGATAGTCGGCCACGGCGCGGAGTTTCGCCGGATCCGGGAGAACACCCTCTTTGCAGACGACGTGACCCAGTATGGTGAGCTGACGTGCGGCAAAATGGCACTTCTTGATGTTAAGTTGAAGGCCAGCAGAGGTGAGACACGTGAGAATAGCACGAAGACGAACAAGGTGAGTGGAAAAGTCGAGAGAAAAAACGACGATATCGTCTAGGTAGCAAAGGCACGTGTTCCACTTGTAGCCGCGAAGGATGGTGTCCATCATCCGTTCGAAGGTAGCTGGGGCGTTGCAGAGTCCAAACGGCATGACGTTAAACTCATACAGCCCATCAGGTGTTACAAATGCAGTCTTCGATCGGTCAGGATCAGCCATTGGAACTTGCCAATATCCTGAGCGTAAATCTAAGGAGGAGAAATATTCTGCCCCTTGCAAGCAATCGAGAGCGTCGTCGATGCGTGGCAACGGGTACACATCCTTCCGAGTTATCTTATTGAGCCGGCGGTAGTCGACACAGAATCGGATAGACCCATCCTTTTTGCGCACAAGTACAACAGGGGACGACCAAGGGCTCTGCGATGGCTGGATGACACCACGCTTGAGCATATCGTCGACTTGTTCGTTGATAATACGGCGCTCTTCCGCTGAAACTCGATATGGTCGTTGGCGTAAGGGAGCATGAGTACCAGTGTCAATGTGGTGCGTGATGTTCGCTGTGCGACCCAAAGATGGTTGAGCGCAATCGAAGACAGAACGGAACTCTCGAAGAAGGGACAAGAGTTCGCTTCTTTGTGTCGGCGATAGCTCAGCGGCAACAGAGGGCTGGAATGAGTCTGGCGCGGGCACTGTGGCCACAGGTGGCGTCATAGCATTGAGCTGGAGGTGAGGTGCGTGTTCGGCGAACTCTAGAGGGCGCAAGAGGTCAACGTCTTGTATGTTACCCAAACATTCTCCGCGAAGTAAGGTAACTGGCGACGATAGCGAGTTCGCGACGAGCATGGCGGTAGCACCGGATTCCACGGTGAGTACGGCAAAGGGCAGGTGTAGGCTACGGCGGCGGGTAAATACGTCAGACGGAGTGAACAAAACAGTTCCGGCTGGAGCGGCCGTACAGGTCAGGGCTACAAGGGCGGATGTTCTCGGTGCTATTTCCGTGTCTGCAACAACGACAAGTTTGTAAGGTTCAGGAAGAGAATCCACAAAACAAGAGGTTGGCAGCGGTGTAAGGGCAACTTCTGCACGTGAGCAATCTATGATGGCCCGATGACGCGAAAGAAAGTCCCATCCAAGAATGACTTCGTGGGAGCATGATGCCAGCACAAAAAATTCAATGGCATAAAGTTCACCTTGGATAATGACACGTGCTGTGCACACAGCTGTAGGTTCCATGCACTGCGAGTTGGCCGTGTGGAGCATCAGGCCCGAAAGAGGCGTCGTCACCTTTTTCAATTTGCGGCATAAGGTCTCACAGATTATGGAAACGGCGGCTCCTGTGTCGATAAGCGCTTGTGCGGCGGTCCCTTCAACATCGATGCGGCGAGAAACGTTTTGCGGCGAGAAAGATGGAGGCTTTAAGCAGTTCCAATGGTATGCAGCTGTTGCCTCAGGAGCTCCAGCGATCAGTTTCCCTCTTCCGTAGCAGGTCGGCGACGCATAGGTGACAGGGAGCGTCGTCGTGGCGATGGTGACCGTTGGTTTGCGTAGGGTCGAGGACCGTCAGTGGTGTACCTTGATGGCGTCCTAGACGACGACGCCATTGGCCGGCCCACGGCGTCGACTGGAGGGGGATCTCGGCGACAGTGGCGGGCGACGTGTCCAGCGATACCACAGGTGAAACAGATGGGCCTATTATCTGGCGTCCTCCAAGCGTCTGAGCGACGATAAAATGGAGCTGGAGATCTCGCGTAGGGATACGGCGCCGCAATTGGGGTTGTAGACACGAAATAGGGTGGCGTGGCAGGTTGAGCATACGGCATACGCTGTTGCGTAGGCCGAGCAGCGACGGCGGCGTACGTGAGAGGCGTTGTGACTGGTGGTTGCTGATGCACCGGCGGAAGGGCTTCAGCGACTTGGGTCCGAATGACGTGTTGGAGGTCCGGTGCCAAAGCTTGCGTGGGCTCATGTGTCAGTGGCAGCAGTGACAGCTGGCGCGCTACCTCTTCGCGGACGAAGTCCTTGATTGTCGAAAGCAGCGGCTGCTGGTCGGTAGGATGGGCAGCCAGGTGCAAGCTTGCGAGCGTGTCTGGCGTCGTGATGGCTTGACGAGCAATTGCGCGCTGCCTACGCAATTCATCGAAGCTTTGACAGAGGGAAACGAGGACAGCAATGGTGGGGGGATTTCTCGCGAGCAACATCTGAAAGGCGCCGTCGTCAATGCCTTGCATTCAAGACGTCCGTAATAGCCGTCTTGAATGCAGACCACGTAGTAATGTCAGCTGCGTGGTTATTAAACCACAGCTGCGCGGTGTCCGCAAGGTAGAATGTGACGTAGCCAAGCTTACTTGGGTCGTCCCATTTGTTACTTGCGCCGACTTTGTCGTACCTCGCCAACCAATCTTCGACGTCCGACTCAGTGGAGCCCGTGAAGATAGGAGGGTCTCGTTGAGGATACACGGCACCGCAAGTGACATGGACGGTCGAAGGTCCCACCTGGAGAGGCGTCTCGGTGGCCATGTTCGTGTCACGTAGAGGGGGAAGCTTACGGGAGCGAAGTTCCAGGTTTGTACGGGAGTCCACACACCTCCACCAGATGTCACGCAGTTTATTCACGTACAGACCTACTGGAAGGCCGAGGAACGCCAGAAGAGCGAGGAACGCCAACAGGCCGAAAATACAAAACAAACGCAAGCTCGGGTCGCGCGTGCACCAACGCTGTGGCTTGCCGTTTCATGCTGCTTCTTCGTCGTTCGCATAGTTCCCTACAGTACTTACAAGAAAATTTCAGTGCGACTGTTGATAACTGTAAACAGAACCTTATTCGGTGTAGGAAAAGCAGTAAGTAACCTTTTGAAACATCTATTAATATTTGACAGAATGCTGAAAATTTTAAGTGAGAAACTTTAAATTTGACATATTCTAGCACAAGATAAGTTGTGCCCGCTGCTGTGACTCTCAGAGGTCATTTTTGTTGAATGGCTGCAATGCATTTGCTACTAAAGCAGGGTTCATGCAAGTCCTTGAAATCATTGAAAACTCCTGAATTTGAAAAGCTTCTTCTCAAAGCTTTGAGAGTGCCAGAATTTTCGTAAATCTTTAGTAATCCGTGAAATTTTTTTTTTTTTTTAGCAAACATTGCCCCACATATCACAGCGCATTATTTGTGATGCCGTAAATGTAGCAGGTGGCATATAGAATGTGCATCACAAAAGAATTGTGAACATCAGCATCTTCTGCATGGAATCACCAGCCTTCCCAAACCAAACCAAATTCAGGAGGAGGTGGAAATGCCTACAAAAAAGCAAAAGAAACTAGAAGCTGCTGTCTTCTTCTGGTCAGTCTGCAAGCAGACTGACCAGAAGTCATAGGCTTTTACTTGACCAATCTCAGCATATTTGGCATATTCGGCTCGGCGCATCACGCGGAGACCCAAAAGGCCCAGAAAGAAGAAGAGATTGTTTCTTGGAATTTGTGGTGCCGGCGGCTCGTACCGCTTCCGCGTGTAGAATCGTTGATCGCGATCACATTCTGCACACGATGCGCACGTTTACTTAAAATGCTTGAAAAAATATCGGAGGTTGTTTATGGGTCCTTTGGAAAAATTAAGAAACAATCATTATGCCACGCCTTGTTGCTGTTCCTGAATCTTTATATCGTTATGCACTATCTCCTCCTGCTGCTTGGTCTTGGCAGTATCCCTAAGGCTGTTTGGCTTGATTCGTGTCCGGTCACTGATTGTCCCTGCCTTTTCTCCATACGAGTCCGCTGTAGCTCTTAATTCAGTTGTGGTGGGGAAACGCCAGCAAGTACGCAGCTACAACCACCCAGAGGTTTTTGAAAATGCACACACATTGCCTTGGAAGTCCTTGAAAACCCTTGAATTTTTGTCATTTAAATGAGCATGAACCCTGTAAAGGTGCCCTTTTTATTCCTTATGTTTTGTTGATATTGTGATGCTTTCATAGCTTGCTTTATGTGAAGCGGCAAAATAAAAATGCCATTTCATAGATTAGCTTTGTAAATGTTACACTTCAGGTACACTCAAGGCACCCAGAGTTTCTTGAATATGCACACACATTGTCTTGGAAGTCCTTGAAAACCCTTGAATTTTTGTCATTTAAATGAGCACAAACCCTGTGAAGGTGCCCTTTTTATTTATTTCCTTATGTTTTGTTGATATTGTGATGCTTTCATAGCTCGCTTATGTGAAGCGGCAAAATAAAAATGCCATTTCATAGATTAGCTTTGTAAATGTTACACTTCAGGTACACTCGAGGCATGCAAACCCCATCTTTTTGCACCGAGCATTGCTTATCATTGTAACACTCTAGGAATTGGCCTGTGAAAAAAGTTGGTTTAGGGGTGAACATCGGGGTTCGTGCAACAGAGTCATTACTTTGCACATTGTTTCTTTCTTGCAGGGCAACGCACAGATGTTTGCCATGTGCTTAGCTCCACTAAGCTTGCCACAGCAAGAAGCGCTACAAAAGGTTCTTGGCGGATGCTGATGCCTTGACCCCATATTTATTGGACTGACAGCCACTTTTAGGCAGCACACTCTGTGAATAGGATAATTTTGTACATTTGCCTAACATTAGGTTTCTTCTGTGTGATAAGTGCAGGCCCGTTGTCGTGGAGGCCCACCCAGCTTCCGGGTGGACGAAAATAAATGTGTGGAAGCAAAAATACACAAAACTGGTTTCTGTGTCTGGTTAAACAGCTACTACTCCGGGTGCCTTCGTATGTAGTTTTCTCCTTACCTTTTGAAAACATATCAAGAGTCATTCCAATGCTTCAGTTATCTTGGATGCAGGCAGTGAACCGTTTCTTCCAAGGTGACAACAAAGTTAAGCACCTTTTATCTGCCAATAACAAACGTTTCAGAAACCTGCTTATAATGCCTATAAACCTTTTCAACCGAGGTGGGACGCACCTCCCTTCTGAATGGCGGCACGACAGTTCGAAGGCTGACACGCACTGACGTCGCTGCCTCAGCAGTGCATTTTTGGGGAGTCCTGTGCAATCCGCCTTTTCTATTTTTCTGTGCTGCCCTCTGGTGTTTTGGTAGGGTTTAGTAGGGGCCGGGAGAAATGGCATAGCTGGAACGAAGGCTTCCCAGACTGGAATTCGCTTCGCGACTTTTCCGCCACGAAAGGGTGCATGTGCCGTGACATCGTAAAAAAGGCAGATTGGCACAGCCTAGAAGGGATTAAGAGTGCACCCAGGGAGCCCTCATTTTGATATCTGGTGTTTAATGTCCCAAAACCACGATCTGATTATGAGATGCCGCAATGGAGGGCTCCAGAACTTCCAACTATCTGGTGTTATTAAACATGCAATGACATCGCACAGTACACGGGCCTTTTAATAACTTTTTTTCTCGTGAAAAAACGGCTCCAAGCGACACGAACACACACGAAGCCAAAAGCAGGCCAGAAGTACGATTATTAGACAAATGTGTGTACTACCCATCATTCCCATGCTTGCTGAAGCGCCGTACGTTGCAGATCCCATAGACACTAGCGCCAGAGTTCCCTCTAGTTAGTATTGTCCTGTATTTCACATCGGCGTCCTGTATTTTCACATCACTAACTGTCCATTGCACAGGGTCTACAAATGGATTTAATCTAGTCTTTTACGTAAGGAGCTCCAAATTGAAGGCAATCGTAAAATGCACGCGAGCGCAACCATGACCGAACTGCTGCTTGTGCTGCTGTTGGTGGCGCCCATCTTGGTTTTTGTTCTCTCTCCAGGGGGAGATCTCACAAGAACCACTGTCAAGGTACCCAATGGCTGTAGTGTGCACATTGTAAGAGCAGAGATCTAGTGTACGCATCTCTCGTACGTACAGCGCATGCGCAGCCGTGCTCCCTCTCGGGCGGTGCAACCGCTAGGCCATTGTGTGCACTGAACTAAAATTCTCTATTGATCGATTGATGTGTGGCGCAGGAAGGCTTTCTTTGGGTTCGAGGGTGTATCGATAAAATCGAACGAGAATAAGAATATGGTTTTAGTGGTATTGGGAACATCAACTTTCCTAAAATTTTACTAGAAGGGACTCTAGCATTGTGATTGTTGATTTGATATGTGGGGTTTAACTTTCCCAAAACCACCATATGATTATTAGAGGCGCTGTAGTGGAGGGCTCCGTTAATTTCGACCTCCTGGGGTTCTTTAACGTGCACCCAAATCTGAGCACACAGGCCTACAGCATTTCCGCTTCCACCGAAAATGCAGCTGCCGCAGCCAGGATTAAATGCCGCGACCTGTGGGTCAGCAGCCGAGTATCACCGCGGCGGGAGCATTCATGTCACATTAAACAGGATAACGCTAGCAGCTGCTGCAATGCTCAGCTAGGTGGGAGTGGTTGCTATGGTCCAAAGATTTCATATGTTCATTAAGGAGAGTGTTAATGCACTGGCCAGTCTGAGGGTGTGCTGATAACTGTGTAAGCAGCTCATTGATTGTTCTGACTAGGAGTTTGCCTGTTTGAGCTATACTTGACTTTTACATTCTGCTGTACGTTGTAGATACCATTTGTGTAAAAAATCACTACATTGTGCGTTTTGGTTTGTTTCTTGCCTTTTCACATACATGCGCTCTTGAGCTACCCTGGGATATATATTTGGTGTACTTCCTGAAATACCACGAGTTGTGAGCTTGTGCCCTTTTGTTATTTCGTGTATTGTGTGTGTGCCGAAATGTTTCCAAGGACATCAAGAACCACAATGGCTTTATCACAAGACCCTTGCTCAAGTGAAAGAAAAAGGGAATCAATCGATGGGCTCATTGCTTCGTTAGATGCAACATAATGAAGTCAAGGAAAGCATAAGAGACATTGCCTGTAGTTCTGTTTTCCTTCTTTAGCTCTCAGTCAAGTCAATCCTTAGTCGCATGAATCGGTCGAATAACCTTCTAACCAACACTGCTTGCAGTTTGCCAGATCAAGGCATCAAAATTTATGATTGTGTTTCTAGTGTATTGTGATAGTGTTTGGCTGTGCTTCGAATTGAGAAATAATCTCCAACACTGCTTCTGGGACATGCATAGCCTTCCCTAACTTTATTCAAAATCCATTATTTTTGGACCTCCTCCCGTTATCACATGCTGAAACTGGCCTTCGCAATGCCACCTAGAAGCTGTATTGCAGACGTATCTTTAGTCTTGCGATGCTAGTCACAGTGGCAAGAAATGGTCGTGCAAGCACACATCCATTTGCACATGAATTGTCATGGCGGTACAGTCTACTTGAAGGGTGCACGCAGTGGGGAGCTTGATGAGATGTGTGCCGTGCTTGTTAGGCCACACCATTAATGTTTGATGTAGACGATATGCGCAGCACTTTTCCAGTGCTGCTGCAAATGCAGTGCCCACGGCGCTTTCGAAAAAATGAATCAGTCGTGTTCATTGCACAGCGTGTGCTTGGTGCAGGCACGCTGTGACCACCAGGACTTGTTCACATTCAGGATTTGACCTGCATAGAGTCGACACAAAGCTTTGGTTCCAGCTGAAGGTAACAGAATCTAAGATATCTAAGTTGATGTTAGACAGTATGCCATTAGTCGAACATGGTGCACTACTTTATTGAAATATTCAAGTTACATTAAGCAGCCAACACATTTAGAACCTAGCTTACTGGTAGCTTTAGCACCACCCATAGTCTCTGGGTGTGATCTTGCATGGTTTTTATAAACCAACAAATATTTTTTGATGCATATATTTAGTCAAAGCTCGCCCATATGTCCAGTTTTTGTGCGAGCTTCAACCAGTCATGTGTGGCAGAAATGTTCATATGTTTGAACACTGTGTACAAGATAATACTCATGGATGAAACTTTCGTACACACTTAGAGCCATAGCTATTTTTCAGTATGTCGTAATGTAAGTAAGTACCTGTCCAATAAAACCTGGTTTTAAAAAAAAATACACTTGAGGCAAAGCCGCAGAAACAATTTTGAAGACATTTTATCGCACTTTGGGGGCCTAGCTCGTCCATCCATAGTCTCTTGTTGCATGGTCATGCAATGGTCAATACAGGCCTAAACCAAAGCTAACGATGCACAAAACCAGTGTAAGAAATAGTCTAAAATAATAAAAACTATAGAAATAACCAAGAATCAATCACAATAGCTTACCTAAAATCTCGAAAACCCCTTTTTCAAATATAACCACACCATGCAATAGATGGCATGCTATCAATGAAGCTGTGCAAAGAAAATTATTGGGTTGCCCCTGCTACGCACTTCCTCGGCTTTCACGCTAGTGAAGCCACATTAGGCTCAGATTACAAACTACACAAAGACCTACATATTGCCACCTGGTGTTCTGTGCCAGTGAACAGTGGGTCAGTTCTGTGCCGGTGAACGAGGAAGATGAAGACGAGCAACCCTGCCAGCGGAGACGTCCTTCTTGGTCTCCGAGATTTTTTGACAGTCGCGTCCCTTTATACGTTCCTTCGAGCTCTTAGCACGTGACAATATGTACGACATATGAGCAGCATTTTTTTTCAACCTTAATAACCTTTTCACCTGATGAGTGAAGTTTTCCTGGAGTGCAACTGCAAGCCCATTCATCCCACCAAACTCATGTAAGGAAAGTAAATAAAATTGGTAGATGGCGTCTATTTTCTCTTATAATATGCTCCACAGAAGAAATGCTGAAATGGTAAAATGTAATTCACTTTACACTACTTCACTGAATTGTGACACTTGTAAAATAACAAATACATGCTCTTATAATTAAAGAATAGTACTTGTCCTTGGCAAAAACTCACTTGCGCCCCTGAAGATGAAGAGCTCGTCTCAGAATTGACCTAGAATAATGAAATTCGGTAGAAGTGCTCTTAGAACAGATGTAAGGCCAATCTTAAATGCTTCAGCATTATCAAAGAAGTACTTGTAGAAGTTCAACGTTTTGGGGTGCATAGACCTCCCCCAAGGAAATGGCGTTCTTTGTTCCAAAACCAGGTGCCCTATTTCCATGCTTATTAAGCCCCATCCACCTGCATGCTCTGGAGAAATCAATACGGTCACCACTATTAAATGATGCCCTTACCTGTGGCTGTATTGCCTCTTGTCTCTGCAATATTTGGTTCTTCTGCTCATCACTAAACTTGAGCACAGCTGCAATGACTTTGGACAACGTCTGTAACAAGAAACAAATGATTCAAAGCCAGGCCAAGCGTATCACTGTTAGTAAATTCAGCCAGTCTGGGCAGATTGTGTTTGGTATTTGCAGCCTCTCATGAATGCATTGAAAGCCACTTGATAGCGGCTGTGCAGAGCATGCGTTTTCAATGCAGTTGCACTGTACAGGGTAAATCTCCAAAATATTACTGCGTGCAGGGGTGTATATGTTAACTTTCCGAGCTGAACCATTCTGCACCCAATCATTTTCTGGCTTCTTATAAATGAAGGAAAGTGAGCATACCGAGAGTGTATGTACCTATTTAGTCGCTTATTATTCTTATCCCTTCGGCTAACATACTTTATTCCCATCGAAAGATTTTATGTGATAAGTGATTGACAGGTTTGACTTGACAGCATTTGCATACCATTCGTGAGAACAAAAATACCTTACCATTGTTTCTTTTCCCATCATGTACTCAAACAGGATGTTTCGCAAGTACTAGAAAAAAAAAAGAGATTAAGTGGACTGGTCTCTGTTTTTCTTTTTCCATGAAAGGATACCTCTAAGGGTCTTTCCTATGACATACCTCATATTCTGTGGGCTCGGGGAGCTGCACAGGGTTTTTGCCAGTGTGATTTGTTGCATTGTTGTTCTGCTGGGCCCGCAAAATGCCGCGCAGGTCGTTGATTTCATCCCTGAGTGGAAGGAAACGAGCACTAAGGAATAGGCAGCAAATAGAGTACCTAATGCCCCTGTCAAACGCGACTTCTGTTTGGGCTATGCGGCACGAGAACTACCATGACATATAAAGAAGCTTTCCATGATACTACGCTTCCCTCCGAACGATGCAGTTTTGTTTGCAAGCCTATTTTGAAGAAGAGTGCATAGTGCGAAAAAATAGTAACATTGCTGCATGTAAGAGGGGACTTGAGCTATTGGTCAGCTTCGATCTCAATAAATCAAACACTATAGTTAAAAGCGTAAACTTTCTTGTAACACAACTGGCAAACTGATCTGAACGAAACTTGTATTTGAAAGAAGCTAAGTTGTAATATAGTGGGGAGTAAAACCTAAGCTTGACACCTGAAGTTTGTAATGAAAATAGCCAAAATACTTTGTCTCTCTAAAGCACCATTTTTATAGCTCCGCAATGTTAAACTAAAAACAAACATCACACATTCTATAACCTATACCCGCTATATTGCCTATATCGGACAAATATGGTGCATGAGTATACAGGTTACATGAAACTTACATAACTTGCGCAAGCGGTGAAAGTGATAGAAAAAAATACTCGCACATAGCTTGGAGCAATGTACACATAATAGGCACCTTAGTTTCATTCACCTTCTTAAGATGTTTCGGCAGATGATTCTCACACTCCACATCAGAAATGGGCTTCGTAGAAAGGCTATTGTGCCACTTACCGATAACGGCCAAGGGTCATTTGAAGAGCTTCTATTCGTTCGTCAGCTGGGCACTCACGAGGGCCCCACTCCTCCTGCAGGTATCGGCAAGGAAATTTCCATCGCCATAATAGTGCCAATGGTAAGAGTCATGCCAATGCATTCATTTACGCTGTGCTTTATAAAAATTTAAAGATCTAGTTAATGTTACTGCTACATGCATGCAAGCAGGCATAAGTTCGTAACCACAGGTAGGCAAACTTGTTACTAGTGTAGACAAAACAATTTGGTGGTAGCAATGGACCATGGTTGGAAGTCATAAGATTAGTTCTCATGCTTTGAATCGATTTAAATATAAAGGCGCAACTGCATCCTTACTGAGTGATAACTTGAACAGCTAGGGGACCCTTTCATTGGTTTCCGAGGAAGTTCGTCAACGTGAACTTTGCTTGAGAAAGGCATACATTTTAGGTTTGCATTTTATGTGCTGTCATTGGCTCTATCTTGTGACACCTGTGGCCATGCACAATCAGCTGTCAAAATAGCTGAACGTCTTGAAGTGCCATAATTTCACATGTATAATATTAAGACAAAACATGAACGATGGTATCCCAGCTTCAAACAAGCTTCACAACAGGTACATACGAAGGAGCATGTTATATAATCTCAAAGTGCTAATGACAAAGAAATGGATGGATTGAATACACAACACAAAACTCTATTTTTAGCAATGTGCTGTGTTGTTCTTTCTGTAACTTGGTTGTATTAAAAAAATTATAAGTGCAGGTTTAGGCAAACATTTGTGCATATGTGACCATTGCTTCGTCTTTTTATTGATGGTTGCTCTAGGAGTGGGGCCTGCTATATAAGTGAATATACAGCAGCATATTTCCGCTTAGCAATGAAGTGCAAATAGTCAATATGCATATTGCTAACTCATCAGCTCACCTCATCTGGCCATGCATCATCCCAACCACTGCCATGTGTGGCTGCTGGCGTGTCTGCCTCTTCGTCAACCTTGTCTGTATGGCCTGAACAAAAAACGTAGGTGAATACAATCATACTTTCAGTTGACTGCTCATTTACTTGTGTGAAAATGTGTGCGACAATTTGTAGTGGCACGAATCGCTACAGAGAGTCTAACAACACCAACTTTAGACTACACTAGCTTTTGCTAAATAACACCACGCTTCGCAAAGTGCTAACCATGTTCTCTATGCCAGAGATATGATTGTACTTGATGATGGGACTGCTGCTAATGACATAACTACTGCCTACCAAATTTTAGCCCGGCCATCTGCTGGGCACTCTTCTTTTAGACCTGTCTTTCAAGTAACTACAAGTGTTGTTAGAACAGATTTAAAAATTTCAATATTATTAAACAAGACATTTCAAGATATCATTTATGTACTTTAATTGCAACAGACACTTATACATACCATAGCATATAAGCACTATTATGAAGTTCAGAGAAATAACATTCAACAATCTCTATATACAATGTGCAAAACACTGCTGCCGCCACTACAACCAGCAAGAATGAAAAAAAGAAGTGTTCGTGACTGTGTTGTCCAAATCGCAATACAAAAATATACGTGCACAGCATTTTTCAAACATTAGTAGACAAATTTCTTTAGGATGTATTATGTTTCCAAAGCAATAAGGCACAGACATAAGGGAGGGAGAAAAAGGTACAGTTAAGCATGCTTGGATGAACTGCAATCAGTGGCGGATCCAGATGCGGGGCGCTAGAGGCGATTCTTCCCCGCCGATGTTTGTGTCAGCACCCCCCTCACTTCAGTGCTCATAGTCCACCTCCTATCACCAATTAGGACAAATGAGTGAAACCACTGTTGGCACACCGTTAACAGTTTTCATGCTATGAAGGGATTTGTCTGCTAGTAAAAAAAAAAGTCATGACCACACCCCCTCTACGGTATTACTTCAGATGACTGCCCTCCCCCGCCTAAAATGAGTGGCTGGATCTGCACCTGACTGCAATTGAAAGACATTTTTGAAAAATGACTAGTGTGGCTACTTTTTACATACACAATACAATAAATCTACGTACAATGAACAAAAACATTTGCAGCTGGGTGAATACCAAAAAGGGGCTGACCTGACATTTCAGACTTGTGTGGCTGCTGTGGTTGCCCATCACTTGGCTGATGAGTCGCCACCTGTCACAAATCGAGGAATGATGAGGTAAGCCACTTTCAGCCTAAGAGCAGGCGCAATGACTCCACAACCGTAACTACAACTACAAAGGGCAATCTTTAAAGGGGCCCTGCAACAGTTTTTCAGCATGGTCAGAATACGCTGCCGATCAGTAGTCGAGGCTCCCAAGAACATGCAAGCCAAATATGGTGGCGCCAGCACGAGATCCAGAATTCGCAACAAAATCTTCAAAGTCAGCAAAAAAAATGCTTTCTCTTTCTTGACAAATGACGCTACAAGCTCAAAAATTGCTCGTCACAGCCATTGTATCAGCCATCGGCTGATTTAAGCATTGCGCACTTGGTTGTTACTGGGGCAGCCCAGTAACAACCTGCTGCGACTTGTCCATGCATGAACACACGATCGCACCGAAAATCCACGTATTCAAAAGAAAAAAGAAAAGCTGCTCAAGGTCACAAGGTGCACGTGACAAGTTTTCTCTTGCCTGTGCTATAGCTTCCTGTTTAGCTTCCAGCGCCTTGGTCTGGACAAGAGAAGACAGAATGCAATTGCAGCATGCGGCAAATCTTTGCGACTCTGCTTGTACTGGACGGATTCTGAAAACTTTTGCGGTGGTGAATTCGTGAAGCAATAAGCTCCTTTAGTGAATCCATTACATGGCTACATGAAAAACTGTTGCAGGGCCCCTTTAAAGCTCTTACCAGCGAAGTCAGTAAACGAACCAGTTTTTGTGCTACTGTGAGTCGATCTTGGAGGGCCTGCAACTGTTCCTCGTAGCTCTTGGCAAGTGTCTCAGCTTCTAACTGAAACGGTGAAAAAAAAAAAAAAACTGTTGTGCTGTTTCACGCTATCTGAGTGGCAACTGAGCACGATGATACAGCAACGAGCATGTGGTGTATGCCGAGCTCACCAGCTGCTTCCCAAGGCTGTCTCGGACTTCCTGGAGAGATTCTTCCAGTTCCCTGACACGCTTTTGCTGATTATTTTCAGCTGCCGAAAGGCGCTGCCTCTGAAACGACACACGCAGAGAATGTGATGAGGAGGCATTCCATCAGAAATATAATATAATGGACATGAAAGCAAGCGGTAGAACAGAATTATTCGGAACGGAACTAGAGATTGTGAAAGCCATATGCTACAGTGTACAGTACGATAAACTCTTACAACACTCAAATACACACCACTCACTACTGCTGGTGCTCTCATTGCAAGTGGTTGAGGAAAACAATGTTGATGCATTGCACAGATTTGCTCAAAGGAGTCAAAAGTGCTAGCTATGGCTTATCTATTGTGATTCCAGGCTACCATGCTCATGTCAGAGAGAGCTAGATCCGAACATGTGCTGTATAAGAGTGTTCTTTAGCAGTAGACCGTAACATACACCATCTATTTCGAACTTGAGCACCCCATCCCTGCCTCAGTGCCCAGAAAATAAAAACACGAAAATCATAATAAAAAGGATGCAGCTGCATCATGCTTCAGTAACCGTGAAAAGGATATTGTGCACTTGTACATGTTCCCTCAACTCTTTCTTTGTTCCGCATTGAGCCGCTTTTCTAGAATTTGCTACAGTACTCTTAATGATGACAAGTGGCTTTGGTGAAGCCCCAGTAAACAAATCCCAGGATAATCCCTATTGTGGTACATCATCTCCGCACTGTAAGCTTTTATTACAGACACATCTGCAGTTTAATTTAAATGTCGTAGACATTGCACACTTTTCTGGCCTATAAAATGACCTAATGCTCACTATCATTGGCAATGAAAATTACAGATACATAGTCAGCTCTCTTCCAAGGGACTGTAGCTTGCTACAGAATATGAAACATTACCTCTTGCAGAAGAGCAGTGAGTTTCTCCTTCAGCTGCACAATAGAAGAATGTTGTTCTTCATTGTTACTGTTGCGGAATGCTTGTGTCTGCAGCAATTCCTGCCTTGTGCAGACAACCTCCGACTCTCCTTCTACTAACGAACCTTCCACAAGCTGCTCTCCTACTGAAACAGGTTGTAGCCTTTCGTCGGCACCCTCACTCTCACGGTGGCTGTGCTGTGTTTTGGACGTGTTCATTCCTTCGACATCATTTTCGAGTCCCCTAATGCACTCCAGAAGAGCATCCTGCTCTTGCTTAGCTTTCAACTTCAATGACTCCAGTTCTTGCATCAAGTGAAACTCTTTCCGCCTGCTTTGGTCCAGTTGAAATATACTCGCCTGCAGTTCTTTGCGTAGGTTCTCAGATTCGGAAGTCAGTTTTGCAACCTCTAACTGTCTGTCTTCCGCAAGTGACTTTGCTTCTTCAACATCCTTCTCAAGAACACCGCATCGCTGTGAAAGCACACTCTGTGCCTGTTCCACTTGTAGTTTTAACTGTTGAACCTCATCAGCTAGCTGCAATTCTCTTTGCTGGCTCTCTCTAACGTGCGAAGAACTGAGCTGCAGCTCCCTTCGGAGACTCTCGGCTTCAGCATTGAGTCTGGAAACTTCAGCCTGCTTTTCATCCAACATAAATTTGACTTGTGTCATCTCCTGTTCTAAAGCCTTCCACGAATCCAACAGTGCACATTGGCCTTGTTCCGTTTGCAGTTTCAGAGAACTCAGCTCTTCAGAAAGCTGCAACTCTCTCTCCTTGCTTTCCTTCAACTGAGACGAACTTTCGTGCAGTTTGCCATGCAGCTCATGCACTTCGGAGCTCAGTCCAGCAACCTCAGAATTCCTCTCTACAGAAAGTTGTTTGAACCTTTCAACGTCTTTCTCTAGTTCTGTGCACCGGGCCAAAGTAGCACTCTGTTCTTGCTCTATTTGTGACTTCATACTCTTCAGCTCTTTCATTAACTGTGATTCTCGCTGCTTGCTTTGCTTAAGTGTAGCTATATTATCCTGGAGGTCCTTCTGCAAGACTTCGGCTTCAGCTTTTAGCCTGACTATTTCAGACTGCCTCTGATCCGACAAAAGTGTGGCCTGCTCAACATCCTTTTCCAGGCCCTTACACCTTTCCTGGACTGCATTTTGGTTTTCGCTTGCTTGTGATTTGAGCAGATGCACTTCTTGTACTAGCAGGGACTCTCTTTGCCTAGCATCCTCAAGCTTTGATAAGTTGACCTGCATTTTCATTGCGGAGGTCATCAGCTTCCATAGCCAGAGCAGCCATGGCAGAGTTCCTTTCTTCGGAAACCTGCCTGGCTTCTTGAAGCTCTTTTTCTAGGCTCTTGCAGCGTTCAGAAAGAGTGCTATGCTCTTGTTCCATTTGCGATTTTAGCAGATTCACTTCCTGCATTAACTGGGATTCTGTTTGCTTACTTTCCTCAAGCTGGAATGTACTTGTCTGCAGTTCTTTTTGGAGGCTACCAACCTCATTAGTCAGTCTAGCCACCTCAGACTGGCTTTTCTCTGCGACTCGTCTGGTATTGTTGATTTCCTCTTCAAGTTCTCTGCATTGCTCGAGGAGTGTACCTTGATTTTGCTCTGTTTGGGACTTGGACAACTGTAGCTCTTTCACCAGCTGCGTTTCTTTTGCCTACTCACTTCTAGCTGGGCTAAGTTTGCCTGCAGTTCCTTCTGAAGTACCTGGGCCTCGGAAGTCACTCTGGACACTTCAGACTGCTTCTCTTCAGCCAGTTGCCTCGTTTCATTTATTTCCTTTTCTAGAGATGTGCATCGCTCAATGAGTACACCGTGCTCTTCCTTCACTTGCGATCTAAACAGCTCCAGCTCTTGTGCTAATTCCGATTCTCTCTCTCACTTTTCTTCAGCTGGACTACACGCAGCTCAAGTTCCTTCTGAAGGCTTGCAACATCAGAGGCGATTTTCACAACCTCAGACTGCTTTTCATTGGCAGCATGCTTGGTTTTGTGAACCTCTCTTTCTAGAGCTCTGCATTTCTCCAGGAGTGAACTGTGGTCTTGCTCCGTCTGTGATTTCAACAACTGCAACTCTTGTGTCAGTTGTGATTCTCTCGTCGTGCTTTCCTCCAAACGAACCAAGCTTGTGTCGAGCTCCTTCCGGAGGCCGTCAAGCTCTGACGTCAGTCTAATGACTTCAAACTGCTTTTCTTCAGCTAGTTTTCTTGATTCTTCAATATTCGTCTCGAGACATTTAACCTGTTCTTCAAGTACACTCTGCTTCAGCTCCATTTGTGATTTGAAGGATTTGCTCTCTTCCGTCATCTGATGTTCCCTTTGTTTAGCTCCCTTTAGCTCTAACGAGTTTGTCTGCAGCTCCTTGCGTAACTCTTCAGCCTCGGAAGTCAGCCTGTTCACCTCGGAAAGCCGCTCTTCTGCAAGTAACCTGTGATCTTCGACATGCTTCTTTAGGCCTTCACATTGCTTCAGGATTGCGCTTTTGTCCTCAACCTGCGACTTCAAATATTGCACCTCCTGTGTCAATTGACATTCTTTCTGCCTGCATTCCTCAAGCAGAGATAACGTTGCTGCCAATTCTTTACGCAATTCTTCTGCTTCAGAACTTAACCTGGCTATGTCAGACTGTCTCTCTTGCTCCAGCCTTTTGCTTTCTTCAGCGCTGCTCTCCAAAGCTTTGCAACGTTCCACGATCGCAATTTGGCCTTGCTCCGTTTGTGATTTCAACAATGACAGCTCGTCCACAAGCTGAGACTCTTTTTTTCTGCTTTCTTCCAGGTGGGCTAAGCTCGCCTGAAGTTCCTTATGAAGCTCCTCGGCTTCGGAAGTTAATCTAGCAACCTCAGACTGCTTCTCTTTGACAAGTAACCTGCTCTCCTCGGCACTTTGCTCCAAGTGCTTGCATCGCTCAATGTGCGCAGTCATCTCTTCCTCAGAGTGCGATTTCAGTAACTGAACTTCTTCGGTCAGCTGCGATTCCCTCTGCTTGCTCTTCTCAAGCTGTGACAGACTGGACTGCAGGTCTTTTCGAATGTCTTCAGTCTCAGAGATCAGCCTGGCTACCTCAGCTTTTCTTTCTTCTGCTAACTGTCTAACACTTTCGATTGTCTTTTCTAAAGCATCGCATTTTTCTTTATGTGCTCTTTGGTCTTGTTCCACTTGAGATCCAAGTGATTGCACTTCTTCTATGAGCTGAATGCTCTCTCTGTCTGCTTTCTTCAAGCTGGGATAAGGTATTCTTGTCATCTTCGGCATGACTGTCCATGAGTTCTCTTCAGTTCTTCACTGAGGGCGATTTTTTCCTGAGAGAAAACAAACATCCAAATTCTGAACATCAATGGTTCTCTTGTAAAACCATATAAGGCCTCCTATCGATACAAGACAGAAGCATGTCAGATCAGTTCTATATTGTATGACTACATCCTACCCGAGCTGCTGTCAGTAATGAAAGATGCACTGTTTCCTTTTGTTACACTGAAAGCAGTTTGTGATACCAAGACAACCTGAATCCAGATGCCGATATTTGTACATACGCCTCCCACTGTGCTTATGTAGCACATGTGCCACGCAAGTGCTGAAGTACCTATGTGCATGTGAATATGCAGAAAAACAACCAATAACCTGAAAAGTCAATCCATGCATACCTATGTCTCCAGCAAACATATGCTATTCGAATTTCCGGAGTATGGCTGGCTGACCATTCCTACAGGCCATTCACAGTTTCCTTAATGTGAGTAGTCACTAGGTAAAGCCTCCTTAATTTATACTACTGATGGCATGCCAATGGAACTGTTACATCTATTGCACCACATTTTAGCTCAATATTACAACAAAAGTGTCCATCAAGTCAATCAGAAGCATTAATTGTAAGACAGACCACTCTAACGGTATTTGTTTGCATAGTATATTTATTTTATTCAAGTACGAAAAAAAATTACACTTCAGAAAGAGAGGACTAAAGGCATTCACACCTGACGAGGTCTTCCCACCAGAAACAATAACACTTTGCACATAAGCAACGACAACAAAAATGGAAGCAACTGAACAACTTACATAAAAGAATAGTATTTCACGTACAACTTTGAATACATATAAAAAGATAGAATAAGATTTTACAAGTAGATACACTCAAACCACGTTATAACGAAGTTGAAGGGGAGGCACAATTATTTAGTTATATTGATTATAACAGTTTGTGGCATTGTATGCTCAGATGGGCGCACACCTATAAGCATGCGAAGAAGGAAACCGCCTTGTGGCCCGATGTACTGCTTGCGACCACGCGTGCGACGGAAAATAAACACAGTTGAATCTCATTGATCCGAACACGCTTAATTCGAACTCAGGCTGAGGCTCCCGTCAAAGCTATGTGTATTCCACTGGGTGAAAATGCCCTGCAATTCGAATGCGCTAGCACTTGCAACGTTTAATTCGAGCATACCGCGTTCCAAAAATGCTCTCAGCACCATACCCGATCCCGCAGTGGCACCTCTCAACGCGGCGCGCGAAGCAGGAAAAGAAGAAAAAAAAAAATACTGTGGCGGATCGTTTGCTCTCTCTCAAATGCCGGTCTGCGACGCGCCTGTGCCACACTTCTCCCTTTTCCGTCTCTGCACGTAGAGACCCTTCTCCTTTCAAAACTGCGTGCGGAGAGAGAGAGAGAAAAAGAAAGCTGTCATGGAGAGTCCTCCTTTCTTGGTGCACAGAGTAGCAGCGGAAGGCGCAGTCCTTGTTGTCGTCTTTGAAGGGAAATCGCTTCGCACCGCGGCGCCGCCTCTCGGTCATGTGACCCGCTGAGCGCTTCCTCAATCCTCTCCGTTGGCTGTGTGAGAAGGACGGCTCTCTTGGCTGCACGTGGCGTGGCTGTGAGGTCGGCGCGGGAGTTTCGAAAAAGCCGCGCCGAACGAGCATCAAACTCCGCAGAAAACGATATACTTAACACACTACAGTAGGTTTTTTTATAGACTATTTGATAGACTAATTTAGTTTGTTATATCAATTTACCAGTGAATTTTACTTCATTACGAGGCTTAAAATGCATGGTTCCCAATTTAGCTTTCAATGGGAATATCAGTTACTTTGTTATATACCGTTATGTTATAACGAGGTTTGAGTGTATATAATGAAATGTATCCTGGTTGACACTGAAAACATTGAGTGCTAATAACAGGCAATATGCACTGAATGAAACACAATGAAAAAAAAACTATAAAAGAAGCAGCTGAGTTATTTGACTGCTTGATTATTTTTCCTGATTTGCAATTTCTTATTATTTCTTCTATTCCTTTGCTGTTGTTCAAGAGTGTTCTAATCTGGTAGTGCAACGTTTGCAAACCGTAGCTTGTCCATATTCTGTTATTCCTGTAGCTAACACGTCGGAATGCCCACACTTTCCTTCTTAAATTTTAGAAGGAGCAACTCCTTCACAATGAGAATGATTCAGTCTCTGAGTATGCGAACTCTTTCTCTATACACAGAATTTGTAACTCACTTAATGACGAAATAGAACCATTTCTGATTCTGATAGCAATCTTCTGACAATGCATGCTGAATTCATTCCTGCAACACAGTAATACTAATGCTATTTCGCTTCCCCCCCCCCCCCCTGCTAATATCTTTCAGTGATTTCGGCATCACTGCGGCTACAATTGCCTTATCCTGGGTACATTGGCAAAATTAATGTTCCAAATTTACAAGCTCCGCATAGACAGCAAGGGAATCGCACAATGGTGCGGCCTTGAATTCAATACGAGTGAGCCATGTCCAAAAGATGTGTCGCATGCTGTGTCAATTGAAATGACCAGCGAGCATGCACTGTTCCTGCACACTCACCTGCAGTGCTTTATCAAGTTGAGCCTGCAAGTCGTGGAATGCGCTCGTTTGTTTCTGCAGCTCTGCCTGCAGTCGACCCACTTCTTCATTCAGCTGTAACTGAACCTGCAAAAGTTGAGTAGCTTTTCGAACTGCCTCCTACTGGCTTTCGTCAAAGTGAAAAAAGATGACTGGCAATACTTTTAAAAGATGCAACTAAAGTAAGAGAAGAAGGAAGAAAGTAAAAAGGAAAAGAGAAAGAAGAGGGAGGAAGAGACAGATGAGAGCCTGATAAAAGAAACAAAATAAGGAAGGAAGAGAGAAACTTGCTCAAGTTGTACTTTTTGTTGGGCTAGTTGGCGCATGTTTAACCAAAGGAACAAGGCGCCAAAAAGAACACAAGAAGTGAAATGGACAAATGCCTACTAACAGCTGTTAGTAGGTGCTCGTCCATGTAACTTGTCCATGTCATGTCGCTTCTGGACAACGCCTACTAACAACTAACAGTTGTTAGTGGGTGTTCGTCCATGTCACTTCTTGTGCTCGTCTTGCATTCCTTCTGTTTGAAGAGACTCGTGTGGACCAAGACTGGAGAAACAACGGTTTCTCACCTGTGCTGCCCGTTCTTGCTCAGTGGTGAGCTCAGCCTTAAGCTGCTGCACGCTCTGCTCGAGGTTGTGCTTCACCTGGGAAAAAGTTTCAAGGAGAAGTTTCACTGCAATGCAGGAAGAAGGCGCTGCTATAACAACTGCAGTAAATATTAAGCAATAAGACCTTTAAAACAGCACCGTGCAGCAGGATTTCAGACAGTTGAACATTGTTGCTAAGCAGATAAGGGCCCTTTTTTGACCACGGAGGTTTCAGCTACAATATTTTATGTGAAGGAGGTACTATGTTTCAGGACAAGTTAATTCAACCACTGCAGCAGCAATAGCTTATGTCAGCACTGCACTAGAAAGCAGTAACTGAGACTGTACGTACATACAACATGTGGGAGTGCTGACACCCCCTGTAAAGTTGTTTGCGCCGTGTGGCGCATGTCTCTCTCCCCAAAGCCGCATTTCGGGTGACGACCGTCGGGCGATAGGTGGCGTTGTATCCGCATTGAGCACCGCTATCATCCTCATCATCATGGGGTAGCACCGACAGTGACCCCTGGCGGAAGCCAGCCTTGGTGGCGGGCGAGAGTTGAGAGAGTCTCTTCTGCGCGTGGCAGCTGCCGCGAAAGGTTGTCTCTAGCGTGGGTCCTCTGCGCGTGGCACCGCGGGCCTACGCGCCGGGGGGGCCCACGTGGTAAGTCAAGCGTTGGCGACACCACCTTGGGTGTGTTAGCGTGTTTGTTGTGTTGTGTGTTTGTCGTGTTATTGTGTAACGATGTTCTAGCATACTACATAACGAGTTATGTATCAATTTGGTGGACGATATCGTCGTTATAAATTAGTTAAATAAATTTATGTTGTTTGGTTTGTACCGACCGTGTCAACTGTGTCCATTCACTCCAAGAGCATGGCATGGTGCGCGCTCGCCATATCGAGAGCCCACAAACAATGGCATGTACTTTTATCATGATGGAGAGAAATGCAAACAGTACTGAATCTACACACACTGCCATTTCGCATTTCTTTTCACATGGCTGTAGCCTGGATGGTAATAAAAAGTCACTAGGGCCATCCTAGATACAATCAAGGGCAACTATAGCTTCTTTTTATTACCCCTAAGGTCAGAGGATGGTGAAAGCAGTGTGCTGCACTGTTCATGTTTCTGTCCATATCTCCTGTTCATATGTATCACACCCATCATTGGACTTCAGTGATACAGTCGAACCCCGCTACAACGAAACTGACAGGGCGCAAAAAAAATTCCGTTGCAGCGAAAATTTTGTTGTAGTGAAATCCAAAAAAATATAGCTGATCTCAGCTAGCAAAACAAAGAAACGTTTATTCTCAAAATTAAAAAATGTCCTTTGCTTCCTATCCTTTCTCAGCAATGTCGCGACATGATTGTCACCCATGCATAGCGACACCATGGTGAAAAGCACGCTAAAACAACGCCTAAAACCGCCTTCGTGAACGAACCAAACAGTTGCATAAACGCGTTAACACCAGCAGCTGTTCGCCGTCAAAAGTATCCGACAACGCTGAGATGGAGGCAGGATATCGTGGAGCGGCTACTTTTGCATTATTCTATGCCATTCTTATCATCCATTACTCCCCGCTAGCTGATTTTGTTGATAATACGGACGAACAGCCGCTTTGATTAGTTACCACACTGGCCAAGCGCGAACATAATGATAAGCATCGGAATCGGAAAAGGCATCGTTCCGCAGTTGAACCCAGCAGCTGCGTGACAGAAACCATGAACTGAGCAACTGATGTTAAGCTTCGGATTGTCTGCAGCTCAAACCAAGCCAGTGGGAAAAGAAGGGCAGTCTCACTGCAATCGCTATTGAGCAATGGCGGCGCCCATGCTTGCTGAACTGCGGCAGTATAGCGGCGGTTTCTGGTGGTGCCAATGAGTGTTTTAGACTTTGTTGACGCATTTTCAGGCTCTGAAAATGCATCGAAATGTTAAAGATTGGGTTCACTGCATAAAAATAAGTGTCTGAGCCTGGAATTGCATCGTAAAATTTCGTTGAAGCGGGACGATCGAACAAAAAGTGTTCATTGTGGTGACATTATTTTATGTATTGACTCCTATGAACTGCTGACGGGGAATCGTGAATTTTTCGTTGCAGCACAAACTTCGTTGAAGCGGTGTTCGTTGCAGCGGAGTTCGACTGTAAAAGTACTGAGCTAGTGTGGAATCTTCAGTTCATGAATTTGCTTTTCATTAGTTTATTTTCATGCTTTTGTATAATTTTTTTTACTGGGATTCATCCTTTTGTGTTGTCTTTAATTTACTTTCCTTCTTCTTCAGAAGACACGGCTGTCATGGACGAGCAACTCATGCATGCTTTTACAACCCTCTTCCCTCATAACGAAGCTTGTAATTCATATTGACGCGTGTCTACATGTGGACGATAACGATGATGGGGCATTTAGTGGGCACGAGGTAGTGGGCCTCTAGCTTCTCTCGAGGCTGAAAAAAGACGATCTTGTGACTGAGCTGTTGAGGACACGCTGCTTTCGTCGTCCCAAGGTGTATCTGTGTTTTTATTCGCGTTGTACCGCGACACTGGTGGAAGTGCTGGGCCGCTACCCTGTCTGATGCTCCACACGCCCGCTGGGAGCCGCTCATCGAGTCCAAACGCATTGTCACCTGTAGAAACACCGGTGCATCGCTCCAGTCGACGGTTGCGAGGCCTCGCGCCAGAGCTGACTCACTCCCCGGAAACTGCTAGGCACCGCACAGCTCAACCAATGGCCAACGCAAGCTCACAACAGGTGCCCCAAGGCAGCTTTCCGACGCACCCATCTCAGGTGACCCTCTTTCAACCCCTTGTTCCCGATCGCTTTAGTGGCGGTGCCCATGAAGACGTTCACGACTGGCTTGACCACTATGAGCGTGTTGCCAAGGTAAATCATTGGTCGGAACAGGAAAAGCTTTCACGCACCTATTTCTACCTTGACGACGGTGCTCGTACTTGGTATGAGAATAGAGAAGGCAATCTGTCAGCTTGGCCCGACTTTCGAGAGAAGTTCGTCGATACCTTCGCCAATATCGATAGAAGGGACCGTGCGCAGCAGTTATTGGAGCTACGGGTTCAAAAACCCAACGAAACCGTTGCAATGTTTGCCGAGGACATGACTCGTCTCTTTCAACGAGCTAACCAGCACATGACGGAAGATAAAAAGTTGAGTTACCTCATGCGCGGTGTCAAGGAGCAGCTTTTTGCTGGGCTACTGCGCAACCCTCTGACTACCGTGGTTGACTTTATTAAGGAGGCTACGGCTATCGAGCGGGCCCTTCATCAACGCTGCAGACAATATGACCGCATGTCCTGCAATGTCCCAATCAATGCTATCGCCATGACGTCTGAGAGTCAGAGCTGCTTGCGAGACTTGATTAGGGAGATAGTTCGCGAGGAACTGCAGAAGTTGCGGAATCCTGTTGCTGAAAATCCCATCGCATCGATCGCTGAAGTCGTACGCGATGAAATCCACCAAGCGTTGTCTACAGCTAGTCCTGATGCTCAGCAGCGTCCTATGAGCTACGCTGCCGCTCTCCGACGTCCACCGCCCGCTATGCCGACGCCGTACCACCAGGTGCCGATAGCCCCTTCGTATCCGCCGCAAGAGCAGACACTGCATCAACCACCTACGCTACAGCCATACAACCAGCCATCCACAGCCACCCCATGGGCATCGACGCGTCCACCGACCCGGAAAACAGATGCATGGCGCACCGTGGACAGGCGTCCACTATGCTTTCACTGCGGAGGTGCAGGACATATTGCCCGTCATTGCTGGCATCGAGGTGATTCATTCCGTCCTCAACGACCTTGGTTTGACGGTCGACGTGCCAACGACGAATACACTCCGCGCCGTGACGACACCTCTTTCTATGGAGCCCGTTATCACTTTGAGGACGGCTCTACCACTGTAGAGAAGGCAATGCCTGCTCACCCTCCTGGTCCGAGACGTCAGTCCCGCTCTCCGTCCCCCGAGCGTTCGCCTTTGTCGCACCACCGCACCTATGCGAACCTTAATACAAGAAGGTCACCTAGCCCGCGCCGGGGAAACTGAGAGCGGCGACCTCCGGGGGCAAGGTTGCAGGCCATAAAGATAATGACAAGAAGCCCCCACAGCACGACGCCATACAGCCGATAAGCCGTGAAAACGATGAAATTGTGACTGCTGACCTTAGTGTTCTTCTCGACGGCCAGAAAGTGACAGCTTTAGTCGACACTGGTGCCGACTTCTCCATTATCAGTCAGGACCTCGCCGACAGCCTCAGAAAAGTGAAGACGCCGTGGACGGGCCTTCATATAAGAACAGCAGGAGGCCAGTTATTGATGCCCTCGGGAAGATGTACCGCAAGAATTGACATCGGAGGTTCTCCTTTCACTGCGTCGTTCGTCGTTATCGCCGAATGCTGCAGACACGTAATTCTCGGCATGGACTTTTTACGGGAATATGGTGCCGTCATTAACATACCAGAGAGCTTGATTACGTTTTGCTACAGTTCGGGCTTACCCAATTCCCCAGAGGCGCGACCAAACCAACTGCGTCTTACTGATGACGATGTGGTTCTTCCTCCGAGGTCATGCACGCTTGTTTCTGTGGCCGCCGCTGCTCAGTTTGACGCCGAAGGAGTTGCGGACCGAATAAGCTCGCTGCTCTTCACCCACGGTATTTCTGTCGCACGAGGTATCATCAGAGTTGCTGCTGGACGCACGGACTTGCTGCTGACCAATTTCAGTGCTGAGCGCCGGCATCTTCCTAAAGGCACGACTGTCGCTTACTTCGACGATGTCATAGATGCCGAAGGCTGCTTGGCGGTAGTCGATGAGTCGCTAAATCTTGATTCAGCGCCTGTTCTGGACGTTAGCATTACTTTGCCAAAAGACGACCGACGCAGACTCCTTGAGTTACTGGCCAAATTTCAAGACTGCTTTTCGACAACATGAAGAGTTGGCCGCACGCCTCTAACCAGGCATCGAATAATTACCGAGGAAACGGCGAGACCTATTCACCAGAACCCTTATCGCGTGGCTCCAAAAGAACGTGAAGCGATACAACAGCAGGTAGACAGAATGCTTGAAGATGACGTCATTCAGCCTTCACAGAGCCCCTAGGCGTCGCCTGTAGTCCTCGTCGCCTGTAGGCGTCGCCTGTAGTCCTCGTTAAGAAAAAGGACGGCAGCCTGCGCTTCTGTGTGGATTACCGGAAGCTAAATCAGGTGACCAAGAAAGACGTATATCCACTACTGCGTATAGACGACTCTCTCGACAGACTTCGACATGCTCGATACTTCTCTTCAATGGACTTGCGGAGTGGATATTGGCAAATCGAGGTGGACCCGAGAGACCGCGAGAAGACCGCTTTTGTGACACCAGATGGGTTATATGAATTTAAGGTCTTGCCATTCGGTTTGTGCTCAGCCCCTGCTACCTTTCAAAGACTCATGGATACCGTGCTTTCTGGGTTGAAGTGGAAAACATGCTTAGTATATCTGGACGACGTCATAGTGTTTTCCGCGACGTTTGACGAGCACCTTGAAAGACTTGAGGTGGTCTTACAAGCCATACAGTCCGCGGGCCTGACGTTGAAGCCTGAGAAGTGCCACTTTTGCTACGAAGAGCTGCGATTTCTTGGTCATGTCGTCAGTCATGCTGGTATTCGTCCCGATCCTGAAAAAATCGCAGCCGTAGAACAGTTCCCTATGCCGACCGATAAAAAGGCTGTCAGACGCTTTCTCGGCCTCTGCGCGTATTATCGACGATTTATCGCGGACTTCGCACGCATAGCATCACCACTAACTCGCCTAACAAGAGAAGACGTCACCTTTGAGTGGAATAACGAAAAGGAAGCTGCTTTCAACGATCTTCGCCAGCGACTACAAACACCCCCAGTCCTTGCCCACTTCGACGAGAGAGCCCCTACGATGCTTCACACCGATGCTAGCAATGTTGGTCTGGGAGCTGTGCTTGTGCAGCAGCAAGATGGCGCAGAAAGGGTAATCGCTTACGCAAGCAGAACGTTAACACGTGCTGAGGCTAATTACTCCACGACTGAGAAGGAATGTCTCGCCGTGGTATGGGCGGTTACAAAATTTCGTCCATATTTATATGGCCGCCCCTTCAAAGTAATTAGCGACCACCACTCACTGTGTTGGTTAACTAATCTTAAAGACCCTACCGGCCGATTAGCGCGTTGGAGTCTCAGGCTGCAGGAATTCGACATGGCAGTCGTACATAAGTCAGGGAAGCGACATATGGACGCCGACTGTTTGTCCCGTTCACCCATTGAGTCGGCAACCCTACCCGAGGAGGAGGAAACATCATTTCTCGGTGTCCTCGACACGACCACCATTGCGCAGCAACAACGAGACGACGCTGAGTTGCTTGGCTTAATTACCTACTTGGATGGCAGATCTCGGAAGGCGCCAAGAGTTTTCGCAAGAGCGTTGTCATCATTTTGTTTACGTGGCGGAGTACTCTATAAAAGAAATTTTTCGTCGACGGGATCTGCCTATCTGCTCGTCATCCCAGCAGCCCTTCCCACCGAAGTACTGAAAGCATGCCACAACGAGGTTACCTCTGGCCACTTGGGTTACACAAGAACGTTGGCCAGGGTACAGCAAAGGTATTACTGGCCAAGACTAACCACAGCCGTGAAGCACCACGTTCGTACCTGTCTCGACTGCCAGCGACGCAAGTCACCGCCAACTAAACCAGCTGGCCTCCTGCAACCCGTACAGGTCCCAATGACTCCATTCCACCAGATCGGCATGGACCTTTTGGGCCCACTCCCTACTTCTACTGCAGGCAACCGATGGGTTATCGTCGCGACGGATTATTTGACCCGTTATGCCGAGACAAAGGCTATCCAGAGAGGTACAGCAGCGGAGGTGGCAAGATTTTTTATTGAGAATATTGTACTGAGGCATGGTGCACCAACCGTCGTAATCACAGACAGAGGAACCGCATTTACAGCAGCTCTTTTGGACCATGTTTTGATGCTGAGTGGAACAACGCATTGTAAGACCACCGCATACCACCCACAAACGAACGGGCTGACAGAGCGTCTAAACAAAACCATTGAAGACATGCTTTCGATGTACGTTGACGTCGAACACAAAAATTGGGATACAATCTTGCCTTACATAACGTTTGCATACAACACGGCCAAGCAAGAAACGACCCGCATGACACCTTTCAGCCTCGTTCATGGACGGGAAGTACGAACCATGTTAGATGCAATGTTACCGCACGAAGGCGACGACATCGTCCCGGACGCCGACACGTTTACAGAACGCGCAGAAGAAGCTAGGCAACTTGCACGTTTACGGATCAGCCAGCAGCAAGAATACGATGCAGGCCGCTACAATGCTCACCGCAGAACAGTCGTCTACCAAACTGGCGACAAAGTATGGGTTTGGACGCCCATACGAAAACGAGGACTTTCCGAAAAACTCTTAAGAAGATACTTTGGACCGTACCTAGTTGTGCGACGACTGAGCGATGTCACTTACGAAGTTGTTCCCGACTGTTCGTATAGTACAAGGCGTCGCCAGCACCATCCTGAACTCGTTCATGTAGTCCGCATGAAACCCTACGTCAGCGAGTGATTGCATGATACTTTAATTTAGAAAAAAAAAAACTGCATTACAGACTGCGCATCGGGGCGATGCTCTTTGGGAGAGAGGCAAATGACGCGTGTCTACATGTGGACGATAACGATGATGGGGCATTTAGTGGGCACGAGGTAGTGGGCCTCTAGCTTCTCTCGAGGCTGAAAAAAGACGATCTTGTGACTGAGCTGTTGAGGACACGCTGCTTTCGTCGTCCCAAGGTGTATCTGTGTTTTATTCGCGTTGTACCGCGACAATATACAATCCCCCTGAGAGACAGTTACGCGGCTCACTTTTCTCTTCATTTAAAACCACTCACATAAACAATCTTATGGCCTGCATCTTCTCACTTGACGCAGTTTGACGCAGCATGTAATTGCGAACACACCCAAGAATCTCAGGTGCGCAACTTGCCTTGATGCCTTTCATTGTGTTCAGCTTGGCTACTAATTACTTAAAATGTATTTTTATAAGTGAGCTTAACATAAGCAGAGTGCATTTATCCTGCCCAACAGGTGCAGCAAGAATATCTAAAAAGCTCTTCATTAAGAAAACTCAGCGCCTGATAATATATACCAGCTGGTAAGATTCGATGTCTCTCAAAAGGCCATCCCCGTGTCCAGTTTCAGCATCCTCTGTTCCCTCTTGCTCTTCAGCCTCCTCAGTTATGGACTTCAGCTCCGACAGTTTCTTAGCCACTCGTCGCAGTTCATTTTCCTGCACAGATGGGCCAACAACGTATGTGAACATAGCATGAGACCACCCTCCACTCGCTTTCAGAGACAAACTAGACTTCTGCTGCTGTGCAAACAGCGAGGCATACATATTAATACTTTCATATTACTTTTCTTGGTATTTCAACATTTCTCACACCACACTTAAGACGTAAAGTCACTCCACGCTTCGCCAAGCAATCCTCTTGTCTTATATTCTCAGTGACTTTTTTCCTCATAACTGCTCTCCTCTTGAGAATGGCGAAATGTCGTAGACTAAAAGCGAGATTTGCCTTGAAGTGCAACTTTTCAGCAGCACAGAGGTTTCAGTCACTTGCACTGTCACTAATCATGAGGCAGAACATGAAGGCATAATTCACATGCAGCCAGCATCCTTGCGTAGTGCTCCATGGTCTTGCTCAGGTATACAAAACTAGTGTTTATCACTCACAATCAGTGATCTGCGACAACTGCTTATACTAACGAATATTATTATATAGGTGTAATTATTTTGTTTGCTACTGGCTACAATGACACTTTTCGCAGCTAACACAAGGCAACAATGGTTGAGACGTCTTACGCTTACATTGTAACTACCGATGTCAAACACATCAGATATACTATATCAGTCTTTGCCAAAATCACTACGAGAACTTTAGCTCCGACAGCCAATGTTCCTATGCAGGAATTGTTTTGAAACATGCAATGCTACAATGTCAGTGTAACAGAAATTTCATTGACTTATAGCTAGCAAACGACTTGACTTATGGCGTGCCTGACTTCAAATCCTTCATAACTTCCCAACACGTTTCACCATCTCATTTAAACAAGCTCGCTTGCACAGTACCAATACAGTGATTAGGAAATCTATGTATCAAATCGACAAATAATGGTTCCATTAATGAGGTAGTGAGTGCAGTAACTTGGACATTTGCACATTTGCACCAAAAGTAAAGTTACAAAGGTTATCAAATTCAAAGAAGTTTATCCACCACTTGCTACAACAGTCTATCCAGGATATATTGAATTTGAATGGGATCAGGAAATAGTTTTATATATCGATAATTCAAAATACAAAATGTGCGTTTTAAGGCCTAAATTAAACCATTTCAGGCCAAAGAAATTGTTACAAGTGCTAACATAACAATCGCTCACAGTATACTGAAGAACAAGGTGGGAACTGCAAGGGACTGCACTTTATTTCGCATGACCATAGTCCGTAATCTCGTCATGCTTCTTGCGCGCCATCAAGTTCCAGTCATCCTCAATATCACTGAAGCTTTTCAAATAAGTGAATCCAGCTCCTACGGCCACAACAGCGTTGATTGATGCAGAATGCCAATGCAAACTTTGTAGCAAGGCAAAAGGTTGGTTAGAGGTGGCAGCGAAGACATTAGCATATTCATAACCCCACAGGTACACTTCCGTGGCACGGGCAACGAAAGCCATAACCTCAGCATTGATGCAGTCAGAAACAGCCACATCATTATCTACACCTTTTAAATCGCTCACTGTTTAAGATGGTGCCTGGAAACGCTGATAAGTCGCGGAATTCTCTGAGGCATTGCACACCATTGTCAGCGGTCATAACGCATCCGAACTCGTCACTTGGCTCGCAAGGAAAGTTTACGACGGTGCTTTATTTACAAGCGTCGGTCATAATTTTTATCGCTACATGCGGGACAGAGTTCAGTTCAACTCCCCACTGAGGCTTTATCAGCAATGAGGAGAAAAGTGCGCAAGTCTATAAGGCGCAAAAGAAAACACAGAGTTGGCAGCCGTTGCTTTATGCTGGTTTGATGCGAAAAGCAAGAAAAAGCGCAGCCTCCTGGACATGCGCTTTAAAACCAAAAGCAATAAAAATGAGCCAAGATCTTTTAAGCAACAAATCAAACAAAACAAAACAAACCGTCACAAAGCTGCACATCTCGAAGGCCGTGCTTTTTAGGCTCGCATGCCAGTGAGTGCTAACAAACAAGGGAATGCGAGCATTGCAACAAGATAGCCGAGTCACTTCGCATTCTCATTTTGGTGTCTTTCGCAATAGTTTTTTTTTAAACACTATGCCCGCGCATAAAGACCTGCAGATTGCGCATCAAACATACCGGTGCACTTGCGGTGCACTCGCGAGCGCCACGCAACGAGCCAGATCAGCGCAATATAATGACACCACCTTTTAGTCACCTGCGCGCATAAAGAAATCAGAACTTGTTATAGTACAGCTGAAAATTAATCAATATTTGCTAGAAAAAATGCATTTTTTGGGCCTCAGCACGGCGCAGCATTCGACATAGCAAATGTCTCGCTGTGCGGGAGTTCAATATATGGATGCACGGGTCCCATACTTTTGCATGAAAAATTCAAGGCAATTTTCGAACTGTTCGATATAGCCAATAATTTGATATATCCCAGTTTGATATATCCAGGATAGGCTCTATGACATCCAAGATGATAGAAAAATAAAAAGTTGAGCAGAAGTGACATTTGGGCAATTGTATCTCGATTTCAGGTTACAGAGCACAGAATTGATAAAGACAATGCTTGAATACAAAAAAGTATTGCATTATCAGCTGTGAGGGTGCTGACACCCCCTGTGGAGTTGTGTGCGCCATATGGCGCACGTGCCTCGCCCAGGGGCCGCATTTCGGGTTACAACAACCGGGTGGTAAGTGGCGTTGATTACCACTGTCATTATCATCATTGTTGTGACAGTGGTAGTGCCGGTAGTGACCCCTGGTGGAGGGCAGGCCTTGGTGGCAGGTGAGAGTTGAGTGGGTCTCTTCTGCACGTGGTGGTTGCCGCAAACAGTTGTCTCTCGAATGTGTGTGTACGTTGTTTGGTTTGTACCGACCGTGTCAACGGTGTCCTTTCACTCCAAGAGCGCGGTGGAAGCCTCGCTCGCCAATTCGAGACCTCACACTGGCTGCCCAACGTGGAGCTCTTGGAGTGTCAGACGACAGTTTTTGCGGTTCGGTACAGGCTTTCGTTAGAGCCGGGTGGAGTACGCCTAGGGGGGACTTCTCATTGCTAGCGTCGGCGGTGTGCTTTGTTGAGAAGCGAGGAGATTGGTTTTGTGACGTGTTTGAACTTGCCGGCAGGTTGAGTTTTTATTTATTTTTTCTGCTCGCAAGTGTTTTTTTTTCTTGTTTGTGTTATTTTTCAAAACCGTTGTTGAATTGGGACGAGAGCCATGCGGTCTGCATCCTGGGGTGAGCAAGGCCTAGAGCATGTGGTTTGTAGGCCACGCCCGAAGTGAGTGAATACGGAAGCCTCGTGAAAGGTCCGATTTTCTCTAAATAGCTTCTTCTATCTCTTTGGGCTCAGGGAGCCAGGCGTCGTTGCTGACTTGTATTGCGGCTTGACGCCGATCGCTCGGTAAGCTGCTGTGTGCAACGAGCGATAGGGCCACCTCACAGAGTGGATGTCTCCTCGCGGCTGCCTCTTCTGCACCTAGGCTGGGTGCTGGGTGGATGCCGGCTGTTGTCGAGCGACTCATTAGGCCTAAGGCTCTGCGCAGCCGCCTGTCGCATGTGGCACAACTAGGTGGATCGTGGCGTTGAGGTGTTGCGCTCTGCTTCCCTCACTTTTTTTATCATGCGATGCACGAGTTAGGAAAAGTGATTTTTGTTTTATTTTGATGGGCGTCTCGGCCACCACCGATGTATTACCTAGCAGTACTGACCATCGTATCACGTGGCCGAAAAGCTTGAAGCTCCTTTTCCTAGGCCCTGCTCCCTTGTTTCGAGTGTTTGGAATATACGCAGCAGGAGTGATGTGATCCATGGCCGGCTGGCTGTCTTGTGCACATCGTCAGCGCCACTGGCCAGGAATGCGGTCGTGAGGTCGGGCGATGGAGACGCCTGAGACCTGCGCAACTGCCTGCAGTCCGGCACCCTCGTGAGTGCTGGTCGCAACTGGAAGACGTGTCCGCGCTAGCGACGGTTCGTTGCGCCGACAGCAACGTTGATGTTGCGGGGCCGGTACTGAGATGAAGTCGAGCTGGACAGTGCAGCAGTGTCGACCGGCAGCGGTGTCGTGGTGCAGGGACGTTATGGACCTGCGATGTCATTTTTTTTTTGTTGGTGCTTGTGCGGCTGATCTCTTTGTTTTCGGGATATGGTTTTAGGTTGGAGGGATGTGGGGGTGCTGACACCTCCTGTGGATATGTTTGCGCCGTGTGGCGCACGTGCCTCGCCCAGGGGCCGCATTTCGGGTTACAACAACCGGGTGGTAGGTGGCATTGATTACCACTGTCATCATCATCATGGTTGTGACAGTGGTAGCGCCGGTAGTGACCCCTGGTGGAGGGCAGGCCTTGGTGGCGGGTGAGAGTTGAGCGAGCCTCTTCTGTGCGTGGCAGTTGCCGCGAACGGTTGTCTCTAGCGTGGGTCGTCGGCGCGTGGCACTGCGGGTCTGCGCGCCGGGGGGCCCACGTGGTAAGTCAAGCGTTGGCAACGCTGCCTTGGGTGTATTAGCGTGTTTGTCGTGTTATTGTGTAACGATGTCCTAGCATGTTAATTAGAATTGATGTATCAATTCGGCGGACGATATTATCGTTATAAATTAGCTAAATGGATGTGTATTGTTCTTTGGTTGGACGTGTCTGCTGTGTCCGTTCACTTCAAGAGCGAGGCGTGGCGCACGCTCGCCAATTCGAAGTCCCACACAGCATAATGATTATGCCATTGCTAAACTTTTTTTGTACAGTAAGTACTATTTGCCATATAATGAAATGCAAAAATGTTCTGTGCTCAGAAAATCATAAAATTCACCTTTTCTGACATCCGTCTGTGGTATTCTTTCTCAGACGCTTCTAGCTTCTGAACCCAGTTGTGCTCAGCCGCTGCAATCTTCTTGTCACACTCTTGCTGCAATGCAGAACGAAAATTTCAGACATCACCAACAATAACACCAATGAATATAATTTGCACACCAGCCACCATAACGTTTTATTAGAACTCTCACTGTCAAAGGACGTGCATGTTGCAATAGTAAAGCTATAAGCTATAAGGGCATTCTGAAAGTAAGTTCCCATAAAATTTAAATTTGACAGAAACACTAATAAATAATAGTGCTCATTGTCAGTATCGTCAGATATACTGTTGTTTATGGGCAGGTTCTCCGGATGTGAACCACCTTTTGAGAGTAAATTTATTGCGATAGCAATTATAGGGACACTCTCGGCTGGATTTTGCCTCCGGTGTTGGCATCAATGTGGACGTCGCCGTCATTCACCGTATATGTACACGTATGTATATATACGAAAATGCAAGACAGAAAAATAATCTAGAAAAATACTCCGTGCACAGAATCAAATCTCCAACATCTTAATTGTGAGTATGAGACATTAGCCAGTGAGCCACGAAGAAGCACCTCCTTCAAAGTTCAAACGTGGCAAGCTATTTATATGTACCACTTATCGCTGGTGATGGGCATCTCGGGGCAACTACTCTATTGTTTTCAGCATTATTAGCGAGATGGCGCAATGAGCCTGTGTCGCCAGATTGTCACGACGCAGCGGCGCGTGCTCTCATCTGCCACGCATACCTGCCCTGCGAAGAGGGGACGCTCTCGCGTGCGCTCGCTTATCTCATGGTGGGGACAATCGTAAACCTTGGCTTTCACCGGAATGATTCTGTTGTAGTTGCCGGGTGTACAATTGTCACTGCACCCGATTCACAGTCTCCATTTAGCGAAAAGGGCACGCTTTTCAGGCACAGCAAATTAACAACTGAGACGCTTATTCACGTTCATCTGTACCTGTGAGTACGTGTCATGCGTCATTGGTGCTTGAGAAATGCGGGGCATAATTCGATCTGCTTGCCATTCTTCCGTGACCTTCCAATTTGTTGCTATCGCGTTCTTTGCTTTGCCTTTGCGGCAAAGCTGTGACTTTTTTTTTAGAATGGTTTCGTAGTGAGGTTATGCCAGTGACTGAAACAAGGATGTTCTCTCATTTCTAAGTTTTAACTTATTTTCTGGATGTTTCTTTCAAAATGCAATAAAGCAGAAAACATGTACTAATGACCATGCAAAGGCTGCCTACTATGCATTCCTTCAAAGAAACAGCATCGTTTGATAAAATATGCTCATCAATCGGTAATTGCAAACAATTTCTGTAGTAGTACTTTATCAGTTATCAGCCAAGGTTACAAACCTTTTAAAACCAATAAACATATGTAACCTGTTCACCCTACCTCAGCCCTTAATTCTGTATCATATTTAGGGGGGGGGGGGGGGGGGAAGAAGAAAAAAAACTTATAACGACCCTTTTGGTGATGCGTGAGGCATGCTTCAGAGTACTAGTATCCTATTATCTCAAATGGCCAAGTTCCTGTAGTCACAAGCAAGAATAGGCTATAATAATTATATATATGACAGGTTGCCTTTTGATAAATGAAAACACGGTGCAAGAAAAATGGGTGTGGACACTCTCTGCCCATTGCAACGGAGTCGTAGCGCTACAATGAAAGCATGCTGTGACATGGGGGCCCTAAAAGGAGCACGCGCGATTAGGCAGGCACACGTTATTCTTTTCTTTCTTTTCTCCTTGTATTTTTTTTTAAAGCACCGTGCATGTGACTGGCTCAACTGTGACTGGCTGGAAACGCAAGCTAGAAGACAAGCCATGTTTTTCGTCACCGAGAAACACTAGATGCAGCAAATGCTGCAGTTGCCTCCACGGTGTTCTCCCTTATGCAATGACGTTACGGGCGCTACATATGCAGCTCGTCATCTATAGCACATACGCCGGTCGCAGTCGCATGCGGGGCACTGGGACATGGGAGCTGGAGGGACTGAAAGTGCCGAAAATTATGTGGATGTCCCTTGGGGTGAAGTGTCTACACCTAAACCTATTTTTCTTACACCGTGGATGCAAAAAAATGCGACATGCAACTGCTTAACATGCACTTGTCTTGCAAGCTTTCCAAAATCATAATTACGATTAGAAAACAGTGCAACGAAGGAACGCGAAACTCTGATGATGAAGAAGACAGAAAGACAGACGCTGAACTAGTTGGGAGTTCCAACGTCTGTCTTTGTGTCTTCTTTATCCCGAGTGTGTAGTTAGAGTTCGGTGCCCCTCTTGTTGATCGTCATTGTTTTGCATCTCTTTGTTGCACCATTACTTAATATCGAACTCTTACCAACTCGCCCAACTATCAGTGCTTCCCAAAATCAGTTGCAGCTTCACCAGCCTACCTTGAGAAGTTTGAGATCAGCCACCTTGCTGCGTGAGCGCTCTTCATCCAATGATTTTTCCAGTTCAGCCAGTTGCTGTTGGTGCTGAGCTTTGATCTCGTACACTGCAGGACAACCGTCAACAGCAATTGTCGCTGGCATTCACAAACTAAGAACTAGGCATGTAAAGAGCGGATTGAAATAAACCTTCAACAGAAAAAATCTTGCATAATATACACACAGCCAAAGGTCTCAAAGTGACAAGGTGATGCCACTGTCACACCAACACTTTGATAAGCAGGGAACCAACCCCGATTGTACACGGGAACCAATAATGATTGAAAAATTCAGTCATGATTGGGCTCACTTGCAAGTGAACATGCCGTAGGTGGTTCAAGTACACTGCATGCACAAATCGGACAGTTTTCTCAGCTAAAACGCCAGACCTCTCGAAGTCTAAGCAGCACGAGTGAGCACTTTGCAATGAATGTTCGGCACCTTCCACTCGTTGCCTTGGGTCGGACTGTGTTGCAACCACTTACGCTGATTATGAAGCTGGTCTCGCTCGGCTGAGGCAGCATCAAGAGACTCGGACAGCTGGCGTGCTCGCTGCTCCAGCTCTTGCTGCTCCACGCGCCACTTGGCCTGCGTCTCGGCTTCACTTTCCTGCAAAGCCCGCAGTACGACCGCATCACGAAAACATGAATAAACCTTATACGGGCATCCCGTGGGCACTTTGAATAGCAATCAGGATTGAATTTCTCAACTGTGACCGGCTTCATATTGCACCTTGTAGAAATAATCCAGTTGAGATCGAGACACTCAATCTTTCTTAGGCTTAACTGCAAGCAGAAGTTCACCGTATGACACCTGTGTTAAATGTAGTGTCTTACAAATTGCAGGTGCTGTCTCTCTCTTTCCCAGTGATCGTATTTCTCTCTTTCAAAATGATTGTACAGTGAATATTGTGTCAGTCTTAACAGATGACATTACGAATCTTAAAAATATAAGACTCAAAGAGCATCAGATAACTTGAATATGGAACAAACGATATTCTCACATTCCTCAATAATGAAGTAGTTAATAAGGCTAATCAATGAGACCTCCCAACAAACAATAAAAACTTGATGCACAAACTTTTTGTTGGCTTCACACAGGTGCCTGGCAGAAAGTACAAACACAACAGAAATAATAAGAATAATAAAAGATAGTGAAAACTTTCAGAACATAAAACCGCACATCAGAATGTAATTGACGATGTCGTGATTGAAAATGGGACCTGCGTTTTACCTCTCACATGGCAGATTTCGCATGATGTTCTGTAAAGGAAGGATGAAAATATAATTTTTCTTCCCACCTCTTACCTAGAATCCAGCACCAAGCGGCACTGATGTCTAGCTGAATTTTGATCAGTTTTCAAAAACTTTTCCAGCAATATTAAAATGCCAGCAGATACATAGATACATAAAAATTGTAGCACAAGTTTCCCACAGCGATTGTTCACCATCACTCATTTTTCTGCATCACTCAATTCTCACTGTCACCGGCATCACTTTTTAGCAACTCTTGTCAAGACGTACGGAAGCCAGTGAATAAGTTTTCCTAGAATTTCAAGGTTAATGATGGATGTGTGTTGCCTGATAGGTACATCACCTCTATCCTTCAAACCAAGCGTATCCCTTTCCCCGTCATTAGGTAGCATATTGATGTTTTCTAGGCTGGTTAATATGCCTGCCTTTCCATTACCTCCAGTTTCCTTCCTTTGATCACACTGCTGTACTATGAGAAAAATTTATGAATCTAAGCTTCCATGTGCTACAGATTTCGGCAGGGGCATTAACATAGCTCAAAAAATCCGGCGCCGACCAGTGTTCAGAAGGGCGGACGTACACAAACAGGCCCTTGAAAGTGCACTGGTCACAAGCATATTTGCATATGCCATTTTTCAATAACTTATGCACTCTCTATCGCGGGCTTGTCGGTGATCAGCCGTTTCTGATATGGAAAGCTGATCTCCTACTGAGGTTATTCTTTTGTCATTTCACATTGCCAGATTTCATTGTTGTCTCATTGCTTTATGCCCGAACATTGTTGTTGCCTGCAGCAAAATAAAGCATCGCACGGTCAAGCACTGAGATGAAGGGCCCATTCCCAGCATGGAGGAAGCAAACTTGTTAGGAAGCAGCATTGCACAATGCAATAGAAGAAAAAAAAACAGAATGAAAAATTGTAGGTCAGGCATGCGCACAACGAGCTTTGCTCACCCCCATTTTCCAGGTAGCAGAAAGGCTCCTAATTTTTTAGTTCGTCAGCTTTAGGGCCAAACAACGAAACGTTCCTTTCCTCAGTGAGGAAGCCTTCATTTTTGTGGGGCCGCCTTATGTCCCTCTAAAAGCTTCCTCACTGAGGAGCCCTCGGTAAAGGCTTCCTTGGCGCTTCCTCAGCTTAAGGTTGCTTTGGGGCTACCTTCGTGCGCCCTTAGGTCCGCTCCTTGCCCTGAACGAGCGCTTCGCCTCACAGCTAGCCCACGTGATGTTTTCGTTTTCGAGGCAACCCTCCCACCCCACCTCTGTGGGGAGACACGAGCGGCGAGCGTGCGTGCACGGTGCCAGGCACGACGGCGCGCAGTGTTGCTAGAGTGCACCACGTTTTGCGCTCGACTACGGTGGCTTTTCACATTCAGTAATCGTAGTTGGAAAAAAGTGTACACGCGTCTCTATATTAACACTTCAGTTTGGTAATGATGTGGTGACCCAACTTCTTTTTTACAGAATAAACGCTTGTGAGCAAAGCTTATATTCGATAATCTCGAACGTAGGAGCGCGGCAACCATTCCTCCCGCGAGGACGGGTTAAGGGAGCTTTCAGAGTACGCTTGCTTCCTCCGTCGGTACTTGGTTGTAAGGAAGCCTCACGTAAGGAGAGGACGCGGTCAAAGGAAAGGAACGTTTCGTTGTTTGGGCCTTAGACTAAAAACATAGCCTGAGAAGCAAAGCTCCAGCACTTTTATGAATAATTTCGAATACTTCTGAACTGACAACTGCGTTTTTAATTATTATGAGTGAGAGGCAAGTGCCAAAACTGCAAGCACACAAGTGAATAAAACACACCTGCAGCTGCTGCAGCTGGCGTCCTTTTTCGTCGAGTGCTCGGGCCAGAGCTTCTCTCTCCTGCATGAGCTGAGTGGACCGCTCACGGCTGTTCTGGATGGTGTCTTTGCACTTGGCCATCAGGGTTTCCAGGCGCTGAACCTGGATTGAACAAGTAGGGGCGACATCCTTAGACCAGGGAAGGTTCTCCCCGAGCAGAAAATTTGGAACAGATGTCTACATGAACATATACTTTATCCAGCCCTATTAGGTTCGGCAACACCACTACAGTCAAGACTCGATGTAACAAGTTCGTGCTGGCGGCTAAAAACTTCGTGACACTGCATATTTTGCTAAGCTGAGGTTGCTATGTTTCAACAAGAACAATCACACAGGCTTCTTCTAGAATATTAGTCTCACACCTTATAAGTAAGTATGCCGAAGCATGACTGCCGAAGAAAAGGAGTGTGGAGTAATGCAACTGGCTTTCCACAAGGGCCGAGAACTCGATGCGAGAACATAATTCTGGCTCTCTCACACAACCTTACAGCCGTGAAAGTTAGCGATACGAAAGAGCTTCTCAACCGGGAACATGGCAGCAAAGCCAGTGACACGACTCGCTTTGTTGGTTATACTGATTTTGTTGAATTGAGCTTTGCTAGTATTAATAAGGGCCTTCTTTTATGGCAGAATAAGCAGGCAGCATGGAAACACATTGAACCGATATGCATCAGTAGCATGTACAACTTGTGCCTTTCCAAAACTACTTTAGGGTGTATTGTTACAGTGTCAGTTTACCATGTATGTTACTAAACTAAGGTAATAATGCGTGGATGAGAAGATTACAAGTCTATCTCGCTTGAAATATGGGAGGCTGACAAGAACCCCATGCCATGCACTGGAATCTCCCGAATCACTTATTAGTAAAGATTAATTATATTGTGTTCTTGGGAAGCTACACACTCAACATGCCATGTTTCAGCAATTTTCATTCAATCAATGCAATCAAAATATGAAAAAATTAGGAATGTGCAAATATTTGAACTTTTGAATATTTTTCAAATATTTCTTGCTATTCGATTTTATTCGCACTAGGGTTTTAAATTCAAACTTCCTGAAGACAAATACAGTCAACGTCTGATTGAAATGGCCTCTTAAAATTTTTGCCCTATCATACAGCCGCATTGCAGTGAAGCTGCTTTTCAAACTCTGCTACGGTCGCAAGTGTATGAACTGAAGGAAACGCTGGGTCCGAACATGGAGAATATAGATGCGGTCAGCCAAGAAGTTCAATTAATGGCGCTTTGGACCTGAAAATCGATTAGAAAATCGGACACCAAAGATTTTTAGCACCTGAATTTACAGACGTTCTTATATGTTGACGTATATCAGATAGATTAAGATATCGAAATTTTAAGGGAGTGCACCCTAGTCTGCCAAATCAGTCGGGCTTCCACAGAAGTTGAAGAATCGGAAAAGTGGAGGAAATAGCATACTCTCCTTTCCCATGTAAAGTGTTGTGATAACAAATTGGCTGCACCAAATCATGCAAATAAATACAACTCGGGCTCTGCATTGCCTCACCCTTAATAAAACAACTATGAAACACCATCCATCCAGCACTTCATCAACCTATACAAACTAATACTTCTATGTTTCTATTGTATACACTTAGGGACCCTCTGCAACCTTTTTTCAGTACTGTCACTTCGAGGTATTAGAAAAATATTAAACAAACATTTGACAACTTTTTGCAAAACATTCGATTTAATTCACTCAATCTTCATTATTCGAACTTACTATGCATATAAAATTTTGTTATTTGCACAGCGCTGGAAAAAATACTATACAATATTAATGTCACACTGATGTACAGCGCTCATAAATTGCACCATGAAAGTTTATGGCTGTATAATGCACATGCTTTTGCTTCCAGCGTACACAGAAGTCATATTGGTAAAATTTTGAATGAACACTTGATCAAGACCAACATCACATTCAGTAATCAGATTTTACCAATGCTCGGCTGCTATCAACAGCAACTGCCCATAGCAGTAGTTACACTAAAGAACAAAACAAAAATGGTGTTACATTTCAATCCAAGAGTATCGTATAGCGGTGCCCAACTCTGACAGGAAGAAGAAAGCTTGCCTTTATTTTCTCTTCTAATAAACACTCGACGATTGATGACAATAAAGTTCTCCAAAAATAGGTTATCGATTCGGTGTTTCAGTACAGTGTTCATTTAATGGTTTAGCAGTTATGTACATCACAGCGTGGTCGCCTGCATACAAGCGTACATGGACAAAAAAATGTAATCTACGGCTCCCCCACCTTCTCCTTGTAGTGGGCCAGCTCTTCGTCTTGCGCCGTGGTGTCGCACGGCGCACCGGGGATGGCATTGTTGGCTTTTAGCAGGGCCACCTTGGTCTCGAGCGTCTGTATGATGTGCTCTTTCTCCTCCAGCTGGCAGCGCAGGTTCTCCTCCAGATGCGCCTTGGCCTGCTGCTCCAGCTGGGCCTGCTCACGCAGCTCACCCATTCGGCGCAAAGCCTTGTCCTGGCTCTCGCTCAAGATGCGCTACAATGGGCCCATACACATACACACAGCAATGCTTCAACTTGGGCCAGTTTGTACGGCACCCTAATCTGGTTATGCTGAAAGAAAGACAGAATGGTCAAACGACAACGAGAGCTGCACAGGTAGTGTGCAAGGAGTTGATAGGCAAGCTTGTTAGTATAGATTCATTATGTTTGTTCAATTTTTCTTCATTATATACAAAAGGACACAATAATGTCCTTTGTCCCACTTGTTTGCGCTAACAATTTGTCATAATGAGGTAGTGCGCAAACCTTCAACTTTTTTTTTGCATATATTTTCAATGTTTTTTGCAAAAATAAACAACCGGAAGTTTGTGCACTACCTGTGCAGTTCTTTTGTCATTTGCCCTTTGTGCCTTTCACTCAGTGCGACCACATTAGAACACACACATACATACAAGAAGATGTCTATGCGGCAGCTACTTGTGATGAGAGAGTGGCCACACGGATCAGCAAGTTTTGCGAAGTAACGATAAGTACAAATACAGTCAGAATTTCTAGCATTATCCACATGGCCACGCTTTCACAAGCTTTGTCTCAGATGCAATGCTAACAAGTATTCTAACTTTAAATGTTGTCATCTGACAGAAATCTGTCCTTTGGAGAAGAAGCTATAGCTTTAAGGCCTTTATTTGGATCTATCATAACATTTCAGCTACTGCTTTAGGGAAATCTGTTAACAATTTGTTAGCAAGCAACAATGGCATACAGTACTACACATACATCATAATGGACATCTTTCAGACTCTAGCAATTGCAAAATGTTGTGCTTTAACTACAGGTGAATGAAACATATAGTGAGTGCAACTTACATTAGGCGAATGATATACGTTATTTCTTTCTTTGATTCAATATTTCTGTATTATTTCACTTATCTATGCACTGTTTTACACACAAAAAAGATGGTTTCACAAACAAGCTTCAAACAAAATTCATGGATAACATCCACAAGAGGACTTGAGAACCAGCCAACGTAAAATGTCATGTGGAAGAGTTCGAATATGGCTGCATTTAATTTTTAACCTCCAATATCTTGCTGATCATCAAGCATCTATGTTCGTTTTTCACCAGTGTTGTTGCTTTCCTTACCGTAAGCTGCGTCAGCTATGGAGAAAGAGACACGTGAGGCATCATTACACATTCGTGAAACTTATCGAGTCAGGTTGTGTTATAAAAAAAATCCATGTTGCTACCTATGACGTCCATATGAGCGTCTGCTTAACAAAGTTCATAGTAGACAGTGCAAGATATGAGGACAAGAAAATGCATAGGCAAAGCTAGAATTAGCCAATATTCTTCCCAATTTTAACTGTCACTTTTGGCTCATTTCTATGAAAGCGGTTTGTACATGCAAGACATTTATGCCTATCTGAGAAGTTCAAAAAAGGAACCTTAATGCAAGACTGAATGTTTAATAATAATAATTGTTGGGGTTTAAGGTTCCTGAACCACGACATGATTATGAGAGATGTCGTGGTGGAGGGCTCCGGAAATTTCGACCACCTGGGGTTCTTTAATGTGCAACTAAATCTAAGCACACGGGCCTCAAACCCCTTTGCTTTCACCAAGAATTCAGCCGCCGCGGCCAGGATTCGTTCCCACACGACCTGCGGGTCAGCAGCTGAGTGCCTTAGCCACTAGACCACTGGCGTATTAGACTGAATTTTCAGCTGACAGAAAAAAATGTGTCCTTAATTTAATCAAGCATGCTTTTAACAATTCATTCCGCTCTAACTTACTTTAACAGTGGCAGGCTCTCACAATGGATCTACTACAGCCTTCAGAACTTCATTGAAATGTGGACTTTTTTTTTTTTTAACTATGCCTCAGAATTAACCTTGCCATTGACCACAAGAGGCCTGGTTTGCGCATTATGTTACATAAGACAGGTAGTATTAATTAGTGTAGAAAAGTTGAAGATGCTGCCAGCAATAGACACGATTTCATTTTTACAAAAATGGCCTCAGGCTGAGTGGCTTAGCTTTCCGAATTGCAATAGTAGCTGGGTCGCTCCATAATGCTCCATCATTCAAATAGCAAACTTACCCTAATCTTCTCCTTTTCCGTATCCAAGGAACGGTATGCCTGAACAGCCTGCACAATGAAATCGTTGTTTAAAAAGTTCCTGCCAGGTGCAAACCAATCTGACAGAGCCCACAGAAAGCATTTGTGCATCAGTTTGGTAGCCATAGTGGCACACATTGGTCAAGTAAATGAAACATTTTTTTAACCATTGAATGAATGATTGTTAGGTCTTAGCCAAACGTGGGAATAATCTACAATGTAGGGCCACTGTTCAACTGACAGTTACAAACTGGCTTCATCTCCGAGCTGATTTTCACTTCATCATTTTCTCGCATACTAAGCAATCCACCACTCTCATAGCAGTCAGTAAATTCTATTTAGTCAGCAGTCCAACAGGAGGCATGTGTGCTCTATTGAAATGGAAACTTTCAAACTCTCCAAATGTAGGACTGCATATATGCACACATATTCATTTTGTGTCATTTTTATTATTTATCTTTATCCTGACAACCAAATGGACAGGTGTAGTCATCACCTAGAAATGGCGATGGTCACTTAACTTGACATGCTCTGTAGTGTTATTTTAATAAGCACACAAGTGTCATACGAAAGAAGATACAGCCTTGCAAAACTTGCCTCCGAGTACTTGTTGCGATACTTGCGGACGCGCGCGCGGGCAGTCTGGAATGCGGTCCAGAGCTCCTCTTTGGAAACATGGTCCAGGCTGAGTTCCTCTGTCTCACTCTCCGCGTCTGAGGGGGCGACCAAGGCCGGACTGTTTTCGGGTGGACGGTACAGCGGCAGCAGGTCTGTGCTGTTGCTTGCACCATCCTCCTGGACAAAGCAAGCATGTTGGCCATCAGCAATGTGCTGTCTAATCTCGAACGGAGCGCGCTTGCCCTTAAGAAGACTGACAACAGGCCAGAACATGTGATTAGATTCTGGTGGAAATCAAAAAAAACAACAGTCAATAAAAGTGACAGATTCAAGCCTTCTTTTTACGATCCAAGTAGAATCCACACTTTCAAACTGCATTGAAATGTCACAAACAACTGGTATGTCGCAGCAGCCTAGTGGAAGAGCCTTTAAGCGGGATTATGGAGTCGCTCACAGTTGCTATACTTTGCTGTCTCATGCTTTCATCAGCAACAGAATGAGGGCTCAAAACTCGAGTGTGTAAATGATTATTTATTCCTACTCATTTTTATGCTGCTTACAAGGCAAATAGGAGTTGCACGCTAAGAAGCAACAGTGCCGTCATGGCAACTAGTGGAACACATCAAGTCATAGAGCACCCATGCGAAGCACCCTCATGTGCATACAACACACAAACACTAATCACTCTCACACCCATCTCTTGCTGTTCGTACAATGTGTTGTGTACGTGGGACTTTATGTTGTTGAAGACCATAATGTTTTGATCATGAATATGTCAAGACGTTTTCTGCAATACCATTTCATGATCAAACACTATGACCGGTAAGCTTTCAATTGCACTAATGAAAACATGTACCCCAAAAATTGTGTGTCAGTCCCTTTAAGTTTAAGGAACAGATGCAACGTCAAAATGAAAGATAATCACCTCGTTTGGTTGCTGGTCATCTTCAGTAATGCTAAAGGATGCATCGCTGTTGCTTCCACTTTCTCCGGGGCCCACCTGCATAACATGAGAGAAATACAAGCATGACAGTTTGTCTGGTAAAGTGGTCAATCTGGCGGTAACATGTCATACAAAAAGTATGGTACGTGGTGTGTCGTAGCTGTCATGATGCTTTCACTTCGAGTTCAGTCAACATGACAGCTAAATGAGAGATCACTATTGGCAATTATGCGCAATCACTGGATAATTTCTCCCATGGTATTTCAATGGGCAGGTAGCGACATTATGGGGACATGTGGCACACACTACAGCCTTCAGTGGACTCTCTATCACACAGCCTGCTTTCAATCAACCAATGTTACTGCCTCCCAATGGTTAATAAAAATATTGATGGTATGCCGACCAGCATACCGTCAAATTTGGTCACTTTGCTGGCTTACGGTTGTTGTAAAATTAAGAATGCAGTATGAAGAAAAGTGTAAACTTAAGGGCTCATTTTCTTTGTTAGACACAATGTTAATGAGAAATAGCAGACAATAATGCCAGGGAAAGCATAGGGGATCTTAATATAAGTAATTGTAATGTAAATGAGAAGGAACAAAGTAGACGAAAAGATAACTTGCCACTGGCAGGATCCAAACCTGCGACCTTCGAATGCAACACAAAGAAGCAGACAGCGACATGCGTGTGCCTCAGATATATCAGTTGAGTGTCAAATGTGCACTATGTTGGCAAAAGGTTTCACTGCAGTAGTGGGCATGGCACTTTTTTGGGTGCACACTGGCAACGTTGTTTCCGCGGCTGTGAATACAAGCATATCCATTATATGAGGACTGATAACGTGTGGAGATGAAAGTGAAAAGTGGTGACATTATGAAAGGCCGAGATACAAGCATAATAGTTATTTTCAGAAAGTGTGCAGTGATGTGCATAATATAATGTTCTGATTAGCTGTACCTTAATACCATATCTCACACTTGTCTAAACAAGCTTGGACTATATGTACTGCCAAAGATAAAGCTATAAATAAAAAATGAGGATGATAGACATTTAGTAGCACAAGTACGCACATCAATAATTCTCCTCTATTGCTTGTTCCTTTTTTTATTGCACACCTTAGTTCAGTTTTCAACAGAATTTTGTGCCCAGAACATGATATACCAATATGTATGGTGTAATAAATACGTTGAAGAAACAAGCAACACACTGGTTTTTCTTTACTATCACTCGCCTTATTTTCCATAGATATTACGTTAGTATGAAAGTGATCCAATTTAAGTGGCGCTTTTGCATGGTATAGACTTCAGATGCATATTGCTGATGGCATGAAGATGTCTTAGTTTAATGGTTACTGTATATAAAACCTAATAAGTAACAGTTAAATGCGACCAGTAGCTCCCAAATCGCAGTTCGTGACTACAACATTGCATTTAAGGATGAAATTATCTTTTCTAATGATACAGTACTGACCCATATGTGGCCCTATGTTTAGTGGCTGACAGCAGGACCGTGCGAGAGTGTCATTTTTTAAACTTAAGCTTATTGTGGCTGTTGCCTTCCTCGATAAAAATGTCCACGTACACTGAGTCGGTATTGAGTACAGATTGTTCTTTACGATTTGACTCGATGCCTAGTATACATGGCCAGTAAATATGCAACATATATGCCTAAGTGAAATAAATAAATACAGGCTTGTAACCGTAACCAACAGGCAGGTGGTGGAGCTAACACGCAACACTAGGTTAGAAATCAAACAGCTTGGTAAGTAAGTTTTCAGTACCGTAGTTTCCTGCGGTTCCAGTTTAAACAAGCTCCATCGGGATATCAACTACGACGCGTACAACGTTGCGAAATTACTATTTCGGCCCGCTCTGCATTGTTATACTCGTTCGTGAGCGAAGTCGGGCTTACAGTGAGTTCAAGTTATAGTGGCAGCACAGAAACAAGTCATGACGCAACACTGCGATTGCTGGAATGAGTGAAACTGTAGTTTAGAGGATACAGCTACCACTATAACACAACCGCGAACGGTGACCCAATTTTCTTATCTATGAGCGAGGCTAATCTTCAAACGAAACCCACGGACAGCCACGACAACCAAAATCGTCACTACAACCTCTACATCGGGTGTGCCATGTCGATGGAAGATGTTCATTCGTGTTCACCAGATGTCACGGTACTCTACGCTGTCCACGCGGCCGCAAGCGCCCGTGACGCCTTTGCCGCACTCTCGGTTCGTACAGGTGCTACGCGAAACTATTCTAATTTACGAAGAGGCCATAGCAACCGATTGCCGCACTCGAAGCAGCGATAAAAACTCGCGTGTAAACAAACTCACCTGTCCTGCTGGAAACTGCGGGAATCGTATGGGCGACTGCTTCACTTCTTCCACAATTTTCTCCTTGAGCCGCTTGAACATTTCTGGGGGGGCCACCTCTAGGTGCGTATCACGCCACAAAACATCGTCGACCTGACCCGAAACCACGGCAGTTTCGATGATCAACCACACGCTCCACACACGGCAACCTCCATACGCCAGTTGCCTTTAGCATGCCTGGCACGAACGCCACCGAAGCACGCCCACCCACTTTTTTGATAATCAATTATTACTGCCGTTTTCACACATCCTAATAGTCTCACTTTATTATTACAGACGGATTTCGCTCGATCTGACACTCGATACGAAAATCGCAATGAAATAAGCAATTAGCCAATGCACTTCCGGTATATGTTGCGCTGTATTTGGAGACGTCCGGAAAATCATGGCGCTTGCGCGCTCGTGAACTTCACGTAGATTTATTTGTTCGTGGGTTTTGTTACCACGTGTGGAAAAAAAATCGCGCTGTTGTGAACTGCGGATGTGCGAGGACATCGTTGTCATCGGCGCTGTAGAATGCTGCCGTCCATATCGAGGTTCAAAAGGCATTAGCTGAGACGTCCAGCCAGTGCGCCCATTTCGATTGAGGTTCGCATCTCGATTTCCTTTCGCCCCCGCACTTCTGTGCGACCCGCTGCCCGAGCCAACGTCCAGCGAAGATTTGTGTCGGAAGACTTTCGGCGACTATGATGAGAACATGTGTTTTCGTTGCCCTTGTGCTAGTGTCATACCTATGCTGCCAAGTCGGCGAAGGAAAGACACCTTGGCAAGGTGTGGCTGTGTGACAGCGGCGGTGCTCTACTACTGTGAGTACGGCTCGGAACCTTTCGAATATTTCGCTAAACACTGGTCTGGCACGTTGAGTCCGAGTTCCAGACGTTTGCTGTCATGTCGGAACATTAGTTTACGGGAACTTGCGGCTTTGCTGTTGGGCGCACTAACGTCTTTTCTCGGAACCCGAAGTGTTTTTTTGTTTTCTCGGGGGGGGGGGGGGGGGGGGGCGTGTAGGTTGCTGACTAGTGATAAGGAACTTGCATTTCTAAGCTACCTGGCTGCGACTTATCCGTACGTAGGTGTCCGAGGTGTCCCACGTGTGCACTTGAAGTTTTGATGCGAGTGGATAACTGCGTAAGCGATACCGTTTCACAAGTTTTCGAAGTGCTGGTACCGTGGCTGGTCACGATCGCCTGTTGTAATCGATTTGATCGTTGTTTAATGAGTCAATATTTGAAACTTGTTGATGGGCCCCGTGTTGAGTACTTGCTGTTACGAGGATAAATCGTAAGCGCTGCTGGAGGTCCTGCCTGCCTCTGAGAAACTGGATTACCCGAGCAGCCCGGCAACAGTATTAATCCGAAATGAAGGCATTTAGCATGTTTCCACGGCGTGGCATTCATTCTTCTATGAGTAAACAGCTTTGAGGGAATGTTGGCATATGAGCGAATGTTGGCATATGAGCGAAGGTCTCGCTATGTAGAGTTGCCGAACTTTTTATTGGCGCTATCGACCCTCGATCCTTCACACATGTTGCTAAGGGTTATTCGTACCGCGCACTTAACTTTGAGGTCAACGAAAATGTGGTTTTGGATAGTCTTTACGGCGGGCATTGTAGTAGGCCAGCTGATGTACTGGCCTTAACATGAAAGGAGTCGTTTTTTATGAGACAGTGCCGCGCATTACAATGAATTGTGGTCTACCTGAAGCTTTCTTTCATACGTCTGCTGTGTTTCTTCATAGTAGTGCTGTCTCTTATCGAACTACCTATGTGGTACTAGCGAAACATTGACCTTGGATTAATGCCCACTGGGAGGTCCGATTGAAGTACAAATTGAACAGCGAGCATAACGGTACTGTTACATTTCGCTTGACTGGTTCCTTCATTTCTGTGCGCACATTCAGTTTGCTTGTCTGAAATGCTTTAGGGGCAGTGTTTGGACAATTGGTGCTTAGTACACGTAGCGGCCTTCAATGAAAACTATCCATTTTGCTGTTGGCGTCTTTAGTGGCTTTGAATGCTACTTCCAGGTTCGTTTGGAATGGCTGGAATTCCATCTATTTTATGTTGTGGTTGAATTGTTTTTTTCTTAGTGTTGGTATTTTCACTCAACCATGTGGGACGAAATCAATACTACAGTACTTTATTTCTAAAAGCTTGTGGGTTGAATAGCAACATATCCTTTTTTCATTATATTTTGCTTTGCAGCTTTATAAACACACATGCAAAGAAACATTACATTTAAAATGATGTGCTTTTGCTATTCTTTGCAAGCTGTCATTGCGATGATGTTTCCCTATTGTGTCAACAGCGATGAGGCATTGTCACTGCGTAGGTAGCACAAAACTGGGCAAAACAAGAGTAACTAATGGCTGCTCTTGGGAATCTCGGGTTTGCTTTTGTCCGTGTGCTATTTCCAGGCAACCAAGTCAAGCCAAATTTTATTTACGACATGCATGAAGTACATTGTTGAAGGCCATCCTATTGTCCGTGTGCTGTTTCCAGGCAACCAAGTCAAGTCAAATTTTATTTACGACACGCACGAAGTACAATGTTGAAGGCCATCCTAGCAAGGAAGCTGTAAGCATACGGCTTGATGAGGCTAGGGGGCCGTAACCAGGCAACAGCAGCAGGGCACACATGCGCAATACAGACGACACTTTTGGTTGTAAATAGATATAAATGTGTGCACACTGTGAATAGGTTAGAAACCTACATGGAAGAAATTCCTCTTCTTTATGCAGATTTAAATTGAAATAATCTCTACTTGGCCAAAGCCTTCAGTTTTAAACAGTGTTTATAAAAGCAAAAAGCTGTTGCCTTTTTTCAATTCTGTGTGTTTTGTATTGTTGAGCCAGGTTTCTCACAATAGAAAATTAACGGAGGCAGACTCCGGGAACCCTGCAGGCTTGCAGTGCGAGAACCAAACCCATCCTCGCGTGGTATATTGTTTGTGGGTCAGCGTTTCTGTTTTGCGCTGCAGCGAACATTGTGGACGCTTGCCAAGTACCGCTCTGTCCTCCTGTTGACTCAACACTTTGAGATGGCTAGTGATGTCTGTATCAAAAGCTAGTGCACCGATAGTTTATCGAATGCCTACTTCTCTGTTGCATTACGGATTTATCTACTTATAAACACTTAAGTCCCCTTACAGAAAATTTTAGTGGTGGAGGGAAGGCAGAAAATAGAAATGGCTAGTAAAATGTACGATTTTAACCACAAATCCAGCATTGTAGTTGAACGCATGGGAAGAGACAAGGCAAATTGGAGGTAAACAAGCCAATGAGTTTGATGATACATCTTTCCTAAGGCTATCTTCAGATGCTGCTACTGTGTCTGCGTCTCAGATGCTGTGTCTTTGTGTTACTAGTTATCCTTGATAAGCATTGATGTCGTGGCCGATCTTATTGTAGATAAACTATTCTTTGAGTGAAAAAGTGCATAAACCAATGAAGGATAAAAATAGGTTAATATTTACTACTTGTATGATTATCAGGAACGAAAAAGATGTTTGTGACATTTCATAGTATCGTTGGACAAAATCTAGTTGAAAACCAGAGCCAGGCAAAGATACTTTGACATTGTATCGCGATACGATACAAGATACTCGGGCAAAAAGTATTGGAGATATAGATACAAGATACTGCCTAAAAAATTGTATCCGATACGATACTTGCCAATTGTATCTTAAGATACCTCAATACATTTGCAAATTTTTTGTTTTAAACCCCGACAATCTAGTAGCTAAGACGTATGCACAAAACCAATGGCTTGAAAATTTATAAAATGTGCCCAATTTTATTTTAATTACATGTTTGTTAGTATCTCAAAAGTTTTGTCTCAAAGTAAACTAGTTCACTTTCTAAGAACTTGTTAGAATTTGCTTTAGCTGCTTAAAGGCCAACTTCGGCGATTTTATGACCATGTCAGGATAATAGTGCTTTTATGTTCCTTAGACACTCTTCTCATACATCCGATAACTGAAATGCTAAAAAAAAAAACGAAAAAAATTTCTAATTACCGAAAAATCGCAATACCGAAACCCAACTGAGTGCTCTTCTATGTGTGATGTAAAGATTTGCCTGACGCTGCCGGAACCTGCCTGATTGCACATAATGGCCCCCAAATGGCACTACCTGTACACGGCGATCGGCTAAAACGCTTACGCTGTTATGAATATATGGCGAATCGTGTGGGGCTCACAACACAACACCACTTGGCACCTATCGCACCCCCACCAACACGCAAAAGGAAATCGCAGGCTCAACTAAGGAAGAGCCAGCCAAACCCACACAATCCATAGCAAACAAGCAGACGCTGCAGTGGTACATCAGTTCGTCACTTCCGCCAGGCAAAACTCAACATCACACACACAATGCTGCCATTAATTCTGGCAAGTGAGGTGAGCATTTCGAGGCAAGCTATAAAACTCATTTGAAAAGAATCTGCGAAACTTTCAAGCCTGCAATTTGGCATGAATGGCGCAAACGTGCAAATGAACGTACCCAGTGAAATTCATTTAGATCCACTGACCTTGAAAAACCGCCGCAGTTGGCCTTTAACAGGGCAGCTCTGCAGACCCTTAGCTGACAGCGGTTCTTGCTTGTCATTTGTGTTATAAATGAGGCCCGTGTACTCAGATTTGGGTGCATGTTAAAGAACCCCAGACGGTCGAAATTTCCGGAGCCCTCCACTACGGCGTCTCTCATAATCATATGGTGGTTTCGGGACATTAAGCCCCACAGATCAATCAATGTGTAATGAATTAGAGTGGCTACTGAGCTTGCTGACCAGCTAGCGGATCGCCATCTCACAAGAGCTTCAATAAAAAGTGTTTGCACAATGGCACAAGTATCAGTGTGCAGTTTCAACTTGTCCATAAGAGACCATTTTGAAAACTGAATCACCGATGCACAGCAGCGACAACGCTGGTAATTACGCTATTGTGGAACATTGTCTATATAGGCCTACGTAGAACGCATAAAGCTGCTATTACTTCTCTGAATCTTCTTATCTGCCAGCATAGACCATTTGTTATCTCTATAATATCTAACGTGCAGTCAGTTTTCTTGAGGGAGAAACTCATCTGTGCACCTCAGAAACTCCTTGTACATGGTGATGTCACATGATGACAATAAAGAAAGTGGTTGTCACTCTGGTAGAAATGAAACTCGCTAAAAAGTGAACTTGGGTCCAGAAATCTATGTAGGCATAATTTAAAGTACAAGCGAAGTTCGCTGTACTCTGATAGCAGCTGTAGGTGTCGTCGGCCTTTGGTTATCTGATAATCAACAGAGTCCGTCTTGTATTTTACAGCAGTGATGGCACTTTCCAGCGTTATCGCTGGTGCACACGTAAGCTCGTGAATTGAAAGAAATCCTCGTACTGCGCGCAACCTGAATAATAATTGAGTTTTTACGTCCTAAAACTACGATATGATTATGAGAACGCAGAAATGGAGGGCTTCATAAATTTTGACTGTGTGATGTTCTTTAACGTGCAATCTAATCCAACTACATGCACCTCTAGCATTACACCTCTATTGACATGCGGCTGCTGCAGCAAGATTTCCATGCAATGTTAGCAGCCCCATCTGAGAATCTCGAAGTTTACGAAACATTGTGGGTGGCTTACGCCAAGCGGTTATAAGTTTTTTGAGGCTTAGACCCAATCACATCAAAATAAAAAATAAAAATAAAATAAGAGTGCGTGGCAGCATAATTGCACAAATCATCACGGGACAACGCCGCTATTCACACTATCGCCGCCTATAGCTACAATTACCTGGCAATTATTAATAGTAAAAAATAG